TACCTTATTTTCCAGAATAGTTGGGTAAATTGTTTCACATAAAGTACCCCGATTCTTTTTTGTTTTGTATACCATCTCAATTATACTATTCTTCATCAATCCAACCTTCCTCCTATCCTCTCTTTCCCTATTGAAATCAACAAGCTAATTTCAACAATACAAGTTTCATCCATATAGATTTAAGCAATACTAATTTCAGCATATTACTTTCAGCCATACAAATTGCTTAAATACAAATTTTTGCATATAATTTTAGCAGCATACAATTTCAATCATACATATTGCTTAAACATAGATTTTTGCATAAAATTTTAGATTTCTGAAATTATATTTTGGAATATTAATGTATAGATTTATGTATTACTGTCAATCTTATAATTAAGAAAAAATTATGAATACAACTACTGATTTCTACATTCCTAAACTTCATGCATTTCCTTACATGAGAATTCACCAATAACAAATTAGTATTCCACCAGCTCCCCGCTCTCCCACTGCCTGCAGCTCTCGACAATAGCAGCTGGTTCAAATGAATGAAGGAATGACTGAGATTATAATGCTTAAGGCAACTTCTTAATATAATATTATCACTAGGTTCACTAAGGCTCCACTAACTGCCTTCTATGCTCTCCCAGCCACATGATTTAATCAATCCATTGTATGTAATCTTAAGTTATTCAAATACAGTAAGAGTAATACGAAGTTTAAAGTGACTTTAATTATTCCCTAATTTAGACATGACATGAATAAAAAGAGGTCAGATGAAGATGTGACAAGAGGAGGAAGTAGTAAGAAAAGAAGCAAGTTTGCTTATGTTATAAGAGGACCCGTGTTGCTGGTAATATGCAGGAGTGTCTCAGATGTGGGAGGAGACATGCATGATAGTGTTATCTGATCATTAAAAAAGCTAGAGCTGTCAATATTGGATCCGACCCGAAAATCCGATCTGAAAATTTTGGGTTTGGGTTGACCCGAACCCAAAGCGGGTTGGGTTCGGATTGACCCGGAAACCTGAAAATGACCCGAAATGTCACGTAAAACCCTTATGCCCGCTCAGCCCGTGTTGCCTGCCCTGCGACCCCTCTACCCACTGCCCCCACTGCCCGCGTGCATCGAGCCGCGGAAACTGTCCGTCTAGCTTGTCCGTCTGCCCCCGCCTACCCGTCTACTGCGCAGTCGCGTTTGCTACGCTGTTGCGCGCGCATGTCGAGCCTCACGGCTACCCTTGCTGCCCCGCTTACCACTGCTGCCCCGCCTGCTAGGCTGCTGAGCATCGTCTGCCCAGCGATGCCGAAGCCACCATCACGTCTGCCGCACTGGCGCGCGCGCCTGCCGACGTCGGCTGCCCCGTGATGCCGAAGTTGTGCGATTTTGTGCCGCTGCTGAAGCCGAAGCGGGTCGGGGTCGGGTTGACCCGAACCCGAAGCGGGTCGGGTTGACCCGAACCCGAAGCGGGTCGGGTTTGGGTCCAAAAAATCGAACAATTATTACGTCCTCCGACCGGATGCAGAGGAACATCCGGTTGTAGGCAAAAACACGCCTATACCGAGGTGTACCGAGTTTTTTCACACCTCGGTATAGGCGCATTTTTGCCTACAATCGGATGTTTCTTGCATTCGGTCAACCGGACCAAATAAAATTCCCAGAAAATCGACCCGTATGCAAAAATGGGTCGGGTTTGGGTCGACCCGAACAGTGCCGAGTCAGTTTCGGGTTTGACCCGAACACGACCTGTGACCCAAAATTGGCACCCCTAAAAATGCGTTATAGATGTGGTCAATACGAACACAAGATAATGTATTATCCATAAAAAGGGTTTGGTGAGAGATCTGGGTCCAAGATAGATCAGTATGGGTAGACATTGATAAAGAATTATAAGATCTAAAATATCCAGTCAAGGATCTGTAAGTGGGATAAATGAAAGGAATTTGAGTGTAAAACGGAGGCAACCCACACTATCAATGATGATAGCATGCCCTATATATCTGATTGTATATAATTTGAGTCAGCAGAAAGTGAGAGATGTACTTGAAAGGTTCATTGGTATAAGTTCTCTTTCAAATATTATTATTTTTTATTAAAATACATTGAAATTGATTGATTAATATATTATATGATTGATTGATTGATATACATATGTGTGAATGAACGACTATATAATTTGATTGATGATTGAGGTGACGAGTGATTAGTGATTTTATCTATTTGCTTAGAGTTCGTATTGAAAAATATTGATGACGACATTTTTTCCTCTTTTTTTTATTGATGTCGACATTTTCATAAGGTGGATAAATTATAATAATTACAATTTTTTTTCATATATTTTCATAATTTTTCAGTGGGGGTGTTGTGACGTCGGGATGGGCGACGCCCTGACATTGAGCTATCGAGAAAATGAAAGAAAAATGGGGGATTGAGTGTGTGTTGTGGGGCCAAGCAGCTTTATCGCGGCACTAGGTTTCAGTTGAAGAAATTCTAGGAGAATCTAGAATATTCTTTTGGAGCACAACGATGTTGGATAGTTGAGCGTCATGGCGTTGGGTCAGAGCAGTTATTTTTAATTATCAAAATATCTAAATCCAATTGCTTAAATCATTACCCCAGTCATCCCTCCTCACTTCTTTATTACTTCGTGGGAGAGAAGAGGAGAGAAAGTATAATACCCAAATTATTTTCATTAAATTCTACTTTTAATTCCAAGCATTTTGACATATAGAAGTATAAGTGAATTACTAATCTAATTGTATATATACAACTATTAAATTTTAATAATCGTTACTTTAAAACTAAGTTAATTAACCATTGCATTATAATTATTAAAGATTAATTCATTTTCCACTAGTCTAGTTCTCTCAATTGATTCTAAAAACTTCTGAATCCTCAATGACACTAATGGATGCCTCAATTTATCTTTCAATCCTCTAAAAAATTTATAGCACTTTTTTTCTACAGTACTAACCAATTAAGGTATACCTAGCGATTACAGTATACTCAATTTAATATTGCATGACTATCATGTTTCCCTACTCCAATCTCATGAAAGCCTCCTACATTTAATGTATTGCTGATAAAGATACAAACCAGTATCTGAAGGTACTAACAAGCTCTTCCCAAGTTATGTGTGAGTTTAACTTGCCCTAGAACTTTACTTTCTACTATTTAATCTACTATCTCTCATATTCTCCTTCAAATAAGAACACTTATAATGGTAGTTTTTTATTCTCTGGACACTGTATTCTGTTAAAGATATTCTCTATCCTCAGTAGTTAATCCTTTGCTAACTGTGGCTCAAAACTCCCTTGAATAGCTGGGCTTAACTTATGAAGCATCTATAGGTGTTTATCCTCACCAGCCTCCTTGCTCCCAATCTGCTTACTATGTGCATCACTCATCAACTAGACTATCAAACTAACAAACTCCATCATGTTGTTAGAACTCATTGGGGCTTCTGTACTTTGTTCATTTGGTACTTTCCATGGATCCATTGTACTTAGTATAGTTTTCTTGTCTATCAAATTATAATTCAATCATACATATGTATGGAGTGAATTCATAGAAAATAAATCTTATTATTACTCATTTCTACCCATCTAGATCAATTCATATAGATGTGGCAACAATTAAATTCTTCCAATAACATTTGTTTTGATACCAACTTTAACGCTCTAAGATTAAATTTGAAAGAATTGCATATTTTAACCTCTAATTAATTTACTAAGTTGCTAATCTCATTTTAGTAAATAGAAATTAGAGGAGGCAATCTATAAATTTTTTCTTCAATTTATATTTTCATTTAGTTTTCAAAATTTATATATAATAGTCAGGAATTCAATCAACATTCTACCTTTCTACTCATGACAATAAAAGAATAAAGATAAAATACAAAAATAAAACAAAACCTGTATCCTGACATATCTCACTATACTGGATTCTATCATATTCCTTAAAACATATAAAATCACGGAGTGAGCTAACAATTTAGTAGGTTAACATAACCTACAATTGAAATAAATTCAAGTCAATAAAATAATATGCATATAATTATTCAATTTGGAACAATGTAAGCATATATCTATAAGGACATGTAGCAGTCAATATGAACAATATCATTTCATGTGAGCAATAAACATCAATGTAGTTGCATATCTCATGAGCAATGATTAGTAATTATGTTAAGGATAAGTAAGTTCTATCATTTCTATTGCATCAAATACAAAATTATATAATTAAAAAGGAGCAAATATAGATTTTAATTATCCGATTTCAATAGAAATCGAAACTTCATTATTCAATTTAAATCCGCCGGCTTTAATAATAAAAAAATCTTTCTTAAGGAACAAAATAGTGTTTTACAAAATTATATATCTTTTACAATAAACACTGTTTTGCTTATTTTTTAATTATAGCTTATTAGTATATTAATAAAAAAAATTTCCCTAAGATGAAAGTTAATTCTTAAATAATTTGAAACAGTTTAAAAAAATAATAATAGTTGAGTTTCAACTCAGGGAAATTTTTTTTAAATAATTAATGAATAAAAAATAAATTTAAAATTTTGAAAATAAAAAAAATTAATTTTAATTTCTTTTACAATATTAAGTTTTTTAAATATTTAATTAAAATTTTAATTAAATTTCAAAATATACTAATACGTTTGTATATGTAAAAAGATTTAAATGCAAATTTTTATATTTATTTATTTCACTTAAATATTTTAATCACAATAAAATATATACATGTTTTTAGGTTTAGTTCAGAAAAATTTTTTCATTAAGAAATCGATTAATAGATATCCAGTTCCTTAGAAAATTTATTATTATTATTAAAATCCTGAAATAGAATACCGATTTCTATCGAGATTGATTAATAAAATTTCAGTTTCAATAAAAAATAGAAACTGGATAATAAAATTCGGATTTCTTTTTAAAATTTTTCGCTATCTAATTAAAGTTAAAACCCGCTCTTTTAAAATTGGCCTTTCATTCATCATTTCATCTAATTTGTTTGTCATGGTTCGTGGCCTGACCTCAAATCGACGGAAGATCGTCCATTTGCATAAGGATTTTGTGCGGCGTGTCGCGTAAAATGTTTCTGATTCTGTAGCTCTGCCGGACCTCACTCTGGTCAAACAAGAGGAAGACGAAGGCGGCAGCAACTCATACTCCATAGCCGCACAGAGAGAGAGAGAGAGAGAGAGAGAGAGAGAGAGAGAGAGAGATGGGTCTTAAGTCGTTCGTGGAGGTCTCGGCTGATTCCCACTTCCCTCTGGAGAACTTACCTTACGGTGTCTTCCGATCGAAAGCGGCGGGTGGCAGCAATCCTTCACCGGGAGTGGCTATCGGTGACTTTGTTCTCAATCTAACCGTCATTGCCTCCGCGGGTCTCTTCGACGGGCCCTTGCTCAAGAACTCTCAATGCTTCAACCAGGTCTTGGATGAATTCGTAATTTTACTCTTTTTAGTCCATTATGCTTGATTAATTTTGCATTCTGTAGATCATCGTCATTGGAATTTGTTCTCAAATGTTCCGTCTGGAAGGGTTTGAGTAGATTTCTATTAGGTGCGATGGTAAGGAGATGACAAAGTTACCGTATGCAAATCTAGTAAAACTGATGAAGCTATTCTAACCTAACATGTTTTGAAGTATCTGACCTCTGCAATAAATCCTAAAACGATTAACAAGTGGAGCAGCAAACAGAACATGAATGTTTGCAGCACTGGTTCCGAATATGAATACCTGAGTTAGAATTTTATCGGTTGAGTAAACATAGGGAAAGAACTAGCACACTAAATGGCTTCTTGTTAGCTGAAAAAGTGATACTATGTTGAGCCTATTATATGAGGGTTGACCGCTGTGGCATGACCCAATGGTAGAGAGCGTCACCAATTTATTTTAATTAACATTGACTCAGTGTTAATTCGACAATACTAATGGTGCTAGCCTGAAATTTTGTTCAATTGCTAATATGTTGTTGTTTATTGTGACTCCAGCCTTCTCTTAATGTATTCCTGGAGATGGGACGGCCTGCTTGGAAGGAGGCACGTGCAACCATCCAGAGGATCTTGTCTGGTATATTATATTTATCATTCGTGATGTTAATTAAAATGTTGTGATTCCTGCCTTCTCTTAATTCTTATTGTATTCAGCAGCTTACAAAGTAGAGTTAAGTCTAAAAAGATTGAGAACGATGTATGGTTAGAAATAGAATGCATTAGACATAGAAAGCAAGCCTGCACTACTTATATTGTTTTTGAGTCAGTTTTTCTATTGATGTTTTAACCTCTTTCGGTGTATTGTTTCCATGATGAGACGAAGTTTTTTCTTTCAAAATTCATTTTCTTTACATGATCATTGCTCAGAAGGTTCTTAGGTAATCCTGACTACTGAGCAGCATTTGGAGGTCACAATGAGGTAGAAAATACATTTATATTAACCAAAAGTTATACCATCAAAACAACTAAGACTTCATTTGGGACGGCTTTCCTATTGCTTCATAAAGCAACTTTCTAGTACAAAAATTAAAATTTTTATACTAGAAAGCTGCTTTAAGAAGCAGAAAGAAAGAAGTCCCAGACGAAGCCTAAGTCTCAATAACATACACGCAGCATGCATCAAAACAAAAATATTTGTAGAACCATTTATCTTAATCTATATATCTAAGAGTTCATGTGATGGAAATATGAAAGTTTGTACTCTTGTTGAAAATGCAAGATATGATTTTTGTGACAAGCAGTGATATTCTAAGTTTTGACTTTCTTCTATTTGTCTTATTTTATATTTTCTAGTTTATTTACGTGCCTATTTTATGGTGTCTATGAGAATGGTTGTATTCTCTAACGTTTTGATTACTTTGGTGGGTTTGGTTTACTGCATCTTGTTTTGATTCACTTCTGATTATATTATCTAGCTCAAATCCTTTTGGTTCCTTGTTTCAACACATATTCCAATCTTCTAGTTCATATTATTTTTTAAACATTTTTTGGATCATGTTCACTTGCCATTCATTGGACTTTTTGTTCCCTGATTTCCTTCTAATATCTAGATATGTTAAATCCTCCATTTCCTTATATTGAGTTTGGTGTGAGTGCTGCCGTGTGGAGTTGAATGTTGTTGATTTGGAATCCTTTGTTTCACGTGCCTTGAGCAGTGCCTTGAGCATTTGAATGTTACTAGGCTCTTTCTATATGCAATGTTTCCTACTAGGGATCTAATTGACTATTTCTTTCTTGGTTCTTTAATGTAGCAAAGCTTGGTCCTTGCTATTTTTCTTCTCTCTTTGACTTTCCTACTTAATCAAAGGTTGATTATAGGTTATTTAACTTCTATGTGCCTTAGCAATTCGAGTTTTTGGTAGTTGTTACATTTATGGATGCCGTTGAAATTAATATTGGAAACTTGAAATTTTAGGCTAGATTTTGGGATTCTGAGACTTCTCAGGCAATAATAGAACCCCTAAGGAATTTAAAAATTTAGCCTAAACTTAGGGCTCTTTAGTTGGGTGGATTTTGGGTGCAATGTATTCTAATGGAGGGGCTTTAGAAAATTATGCATTTGGTTTGTTGAAAAACAAATTCGAAGTAAAGTTTTGAGGAATTTGAAATTCATTCCTTAGTTCTTTTTTAGTGTTATCTAAAATCACCTGATTTTTAAATACACTATCACCTGCTCTTCGTGAACTCTTGAGTGCACCCTCGTGATGCTTCGCACTTGTTGGCAATTGTGCTCGCCGATGACCCATTGCGCTCGCGCTTATGGTGCTTCTTACTCTCCATGCCATCACACTTACACTTCAGTGATCGCTCGTGCTCGTGAACACTTGTACTGCTTGCTATTTGTGCTTGCGGATGACCTCTCTATACTTGCGCTTTCGAACCTTGCGATGCTCACAAGTCTGTGATTGCTGACGACCTATAACATGCCCTTACCCAAAAATATTGATTTTACTTTGCAAGCAACCTAACACAAAATTAAGCTCTTGCCTTTATTTCACAAGCAACCAAACACTGTAAAGTATTTAAAGCATATAGATTTTACTTTACATTGTATTTTAAATACATCTTATTCTCAAATACGTTTAGCAAAACAACCCCTTTATAAACTTCCTTTATCTTCTCAAATTTATTTGTGTATAGTTTGGATATGAATTTGTCAAGTGCGATGCCAAATGCTAGCATCTATGGTATCAAAGCTATAACTATAACCATTGATCAAAAGTAAATAAACATCCATATGACCCAAATTTAACTGAAAATATTATCTGGACAGGATCATAACTCCATAAACCTTAGAACACCTTTGACATAGATCATAATCTTGTAAGCTTGTATCACTTTCAGACCATATTATAACCTTGTAAGTTTTACAATACCTTTAGGTTGGGTAACAAGCATTGAGCACCTCGTGCTTTTATAGGCCTCTCTAACATTAGAGATGTAGGCCGTAGTCCCTAAGCCACTCTATATTTAGAGTTGTAAGCCCTTCCATCCCAACATTATGATTAGTTTGCATAGGTAAATCCTACACCATCTTTTGAAGTGAATTGGACTCAAGTTAACTCGAGGATCTCTACTTGAAGCAACTCATGGATACAAAAATATGTCTTCTACTTTTCATCATGCTAATACTAGCCTCACTATTAGGGGCTTTCTTGTAGCTTTCTTTGTAGATGATTTCCCCTTTCATACCACTATAAGTTTGACTTGGACTAATCAACTAATAAATACTCTTTTTTTTTTTTCAACTAACGAATACTCTTATATTCTAAAGTATCCCCTTTTAGGGCGGATTCAAAATTCACCCTTGGGTTATCAAATTGGCTAATGTCATGCAAAATACTTAAGTTAGTCACACTTAGCCACATTTCGAATCTCTGGCCTAATCTCAGTATGAATTGGGCAAGTCTAGTTGTTGAACCTCTAGTAATGATGTATTAACACCTTTGAATGTATAACAACCATGTTGGTTCCCTGAGGTTCTTTTTTTCTAGTCTAAATCATTGAGCCTCATGATGAGAGGGTGGGTTATGTTTAGCATAGTGCCATATCACCCATTTAAGATTTTGATAGGAGGCAACCCAAGATTTTTTATCGAACTCCTACTTGAAATGACCCTTGACCCTCTGTCATTGGTAGACTTAGTTAACCAAATTTGTTGGGATGATGGAACAATGAAATCTTGACCATGTTGATCGCTCATTCGCAACCATTCAGTTCATTTGTAATCCCAAACTCTTAATCACCAATCCGAAGTGTAGTTAATGTCCTTAATTGAGTGTTTTCCTTAAAAAGACCACACTCACAATTGGGATCTAATTGTAAATTATTTGTCCGTTTAGGCCTAATAGAGGTTGATAACTATCTTCAAGCCATACAAGAAATTATCTGAAACTAACTACCTAACAACAACATCAAGCATCTATCCCACTATGTGCGGTTGGCTACATGAATAAAATTTTCTCCATTGTGCCTTGTTAAGAGTCAAATTCTCATTTAAATCTAATAAAAAAAATTATTTCTAATATTTTCTAACCAAGTTTTTTTAGGTCTGCCTCTACCTTTCTTAACATATGCCAAATCTAATACATCTACTCTCTTAATTAGGTCATCGGAAGGCCGATCTTTTATGCATCCAAACCATCTAAGACAACTCTCTAATCTTATATGCCATTGGAGCTACTCCAACCTTTTCAAGTATATACTTGTTTAACATCCTGTCTCTAAGAATGAAGCCACTCATCCACTTGAGCATCCTCATCTTTGCAAAACTTAACTTAATTTTTTGCTTCTCTTTTAATGGTCAACATTCTACGGCATAAAGCATTGCAGGTCTCACCACCATCTTATAGAATATTCCCTTAAGATTGAGGGGTACTTTTTGGTCACACAACAGGCCTAATGCATTCCTCCACTTTAACCATCCAACTTGAATTCTATTAATAATATCCCCATCTATTTCAAAATCACTTTGAATAATAGACGGAGATATCTAAAACTTGTACTCTTATTAATGAATTGATCAACCAAAGTCACAATCCCCCAACTAGATATATTACTACAAAAATTACACTATGTATTCGGTTTTAGATTTACTCAAACGGAAATCCTTAGAATCTAAGGTTGACCTCCATAATTCAAGTTTTCCTTCAATTCCCTCTCTAGTACTATCAACAAGAAGAATATCATCAGCAAAAAACATACATTAGGGTGCATATTCTTGCAAATGTCTAGTAAGAGCATCCATGACTAAAGCAAACATATATGGGTTTAAAGTTGTTCCTTAATGTAATCCAACTGAAATAGTAAAATACTTGGAGTAAGAACTCCTTCATACATATCCTTAATGACTTGAAAATAAGAATTATTAACTTCTTTCTTTTCTAGAACTCTTTGGAGCACTTTTCTTGGAACTTTATCATATGCTTTCTCTAAATCATATCATTTAATCTGTTGAAACTAATGGACTTAAAATTTGAAAACTTGAGGTCAAAGCGTAAGGAAACATAAGCCTCACTAAGCTATAAGAAATGTACGCTAAAGCTCAAAAACACTTCATATCATTTGAAGTTTGATTCAACCATTTGATTCATCTACTTTGAGGTGTTATCACATGTTTAATTAAGCAGAATTTGGTTCATTTACTCAATGGATTCAAGTCTAGAATAATGCAACTAACTTTATTTCTGTGACTACAGATAATGAGCCAATCTTACGTGACAATATAAGTTTGAGGAACAAGTCCCTGCTACCAATGGTTAGTTGTCATGCATGGATTTTATTTTAGTACTTCTTTAAATGAGTTAACTGGAGTCTTCGACTAAACAGAATGAGGTGGAGATGCTTCTACCAGTTGTAATTGGAGACTATACAGATTTTTTCTGCTCCATGTATCATACTAAAAACTGTGGAACCATATTTCGAGGGCCGGAGAACCCTATTATGCCTAACTGGTATCATTCCCTTTTTTTTTCATTCATTTTATTATCCTATATCAAAGAAATGATGTGTGATATAAACCATTGGATATGATGACAAACTATTTAATTCTGCACTTAGCTAAATACCAATTTTCTTCTTGTTAGAAGTTTTTTTTTTTCTTATTTCATAATTTGATAGTAAGATCAATGATCAATCACAATCGGGTTTAATTTTGGTTCAAATTGAGTACAGATCTAAATCGAAGGGCCATGCCTTGATTGAATCATATTTGAATTGAGCTGAAACCCGTCGATGCTTTTCTATGGCTATGTATGGATGCGTGGATGCATTTGTAGATTTTGGAAAATAATTCATCTTAGAAGATTGAACATAGATTGAAATTTAGTTTGCTTTCTGTCTCAGATCAGTTTTGAATTGACATTATTGAGTCAAGCTTGCTAAACTGGTGATTGGTTCAAGCTTAATGTAGAGGTAGGATTGCCTCAGATCAAGCTTAAATTGTATGGCTTTGAGCCGATCTTTTGCCAGGTTTGAATAGGTCATGATCGGATTGCTCATAGCTCTGTTCAGATGGATGGTTATACATCCAATGATCCCATGATGCTTTCTCCCACAAGTACTGAATTTTTTGAGCTCATCTGCCAAGTCATCATGCTCATAATGCATGAATAGTTAAATGTTTTACAGCAGATTTTTCCTTACCTTCACATTAAAGTTTCTCCTAATTGGCGGACTACTTTGTCACATGATGGTGCTGCCACACGCCTGCTTCTTCAATTACATGTCATACGTCATGGCCTTAGATTACAATCAGCAGTTGTCATCAAAGTTCAGTTTCAAGCGTCAATTATTTTATTAGTTGAAGTTTCTATAACTTTATACAACTACTAAAAAAATAATAATCTAGGTGGTTGGTTGGGAATGAAATTATATATTTTAGTTTGAATTGCTAATATTAATGTTTGATTGAAATTTAACTTTGAGTTGATAATGCTTGCACTTATTTGGATGAAAGTTATAAACTAGGATAGGCACATGTTTGATTTATTGCATGTAATGGAGTTTGGGTTGGAAGTATTAATGCATGAGATGTAATGGATGGTTTTCTTTTTTATTTTTATTTTTTATGATGAAACAAATTTATTAACATAAAGTAAATCTAATAAAATCTGAAAATGAATTAACTTAGTGCTTAAGGCATTAAATTAACTTGATCAAGTCCCAATTAATTGTACAAGATTCAATGCCATAATTTTCTTTATTTTTCTAAATTTTTCTTGACCTAAAATGATCTTTAAATCATTTTCCATAAGGAAAAAAAAAAAAATAGCGGACCAAATTGACCGAGTTTGACCAAGTTAAATAGGTTCACTATAATACAATATAGACATATTTTTTTCTCTCCTAATTGACAAGTTTGCACCAAACTTCTTGAAATAGTTGGCGCATCCTTCAACCACCTCTTAAAATCTCAATGTTGCAACAACTTGATACACCTTACCATGTATTCTTGTTACAACTCTAGTTCTGATCCTCTTAGCTTCTCTCAAAACCCATAATAATTCCCTCTCTATGAGTGCTCAACAGAGAAGACATAAAAAGTTATAACAAAGCTTTATTGGTAATAGAATAATAATTCTTAAAATCCTTCACTACCAACAATTAATAAAATGTTAAGGGTTTAATAAACTAAAAATTCAGAAATACCTTAAGAATGCGAGGCATTGTAAGAAAATTTTATGTTGCACTCCTACTGAGGTAGTGCCCTTAAAATATGTTTTGCACTTTTGTCTCAGCTTTGTTGATCAAAGTTTGCATGTCTCTCTTTTTTGTCTTACCTATAAAACTGAGGCAGAGAAATACCAACCATGAATACCTTAGTGTGGTGGGGAGGCTCCTGTATTTTTATTTTGCTATTTTGCTAACATTATGTATGGGTTCTATCAAGACTTATAAATATATAGTGGAAGACCCATATATAAATCAAATTAAGATTCAACTATGAAGTTTAAATCATACTCATTCATATATTAGTTGAGACAGTCCAAAAGTTGATGTTACAATACATTCACATAGCCTAATTCCACTAAGGCATCATATTCCATTTAGAAAGAAATGAATCCACTTAGATTCATAACCATTTAGTTCGTACATCAATAAGTTGCATTCATTAATATAATTCATAATTGATCAACATTCAAAGAAAGTCAATTGTGTCATTAAGTGAATTGTTTTACTTGGATCCCTTCCAAAATATAACACCCATTTAGGAGGAATAATAATTAGATTGGTTATATAAAAAGAATGCTTACGAAAACTAAAGTGATTTTTTTGGACATTTTGAGAACTTTTACTCTTATATACGAGATTAATAAGAGAAAGCCCTAATCTCTTGTGTAGTGGACATAGGACCAATCCACTTACACCTTCGTGTTTGTGCAGTGTTTTGTGCCCATTTGTACTTATTAGTAACTTGACTTAGAATTTACTTTATGGGAACTCTTGAGCAAATTATAGTTCCTTGTTCATTTGGTTTAATCCCTGTTTATATTTGATGTTATTTGTGGGAAATTCTATTGAGACGCAAATGAATTAGACCAAATGAGGATCAACTAGAAAGCCCTAAGTAATTATAAAAACTTTAAATTAGTCACGTGCAAACATATAGAGGAATCGAGTAAAGAATGCATTAGACTAATAAGTACAGAGTAATCTTAGTAAAGCATAAAGTGATCCTTAATTAATTTTGATTAATTATTATTGTTGTGAAATTAATGGCACAATCATGAATTTAATCATATAACCCATCTTCAAATTTGTCCTAATCAAAACCAAGATCAATGTTTATGAACAATCAAATCTTTTAACATGCCTAATTAAAATGTTGAGGGCATATGGCTCAAGTGGCAGAGAGGCTGTGAAAGAAAATGCTTGATAATGAAACCTGTAAGGAACAAATAAGAATTATATCATGACCATAATGAGGTCAGAGGAAGCACAAAAGTTGATTGCAACTTTGATAAATCTTTGTATTGAAGTCAATAAAAGTTAAGAAGAAAAAGAAGCTATTGAATGCCCACCAACAACGGGCAACATTAAACTTACTAGGGCTTGCATTCGGTATAGGAGGTGAGGGAAAAAGAATATTTATGGTGACCTGTGAAGATGCTAGTGTCGATCAAAGAAGATGATGGGAAAGGAGGCTTGTGTGAGAATGTAATTGTATGGTATCTTGTGTTTGCCAAGTGCTAAGCAGACAACAAAAGCGAACGACTTATCATGACTTACTATGGTGAGGGAAAAGAGGCGTGAATGCAATGGATAAATGTGAAGAAATATGCATGAGGACCCTAAGCTTTACTCTCCTCGTATTGCGACTTCAATAATGACATACTTATGTATAAAGGTGCTAGCATAGTCAGTTCTTGTTGAGCTAATTTGAGTAAGGGTAGTCGGGTAGATGTGACACCCTAAGATCTAAATTGAAATGATTGTATATTTTCTATCTTCTTAGTTATTACCAGAGCTACTAATTATCCATTAAATTTAATAATTTCAGTGAAATCCACTACAAATCAATTTCATCAAAACATATTTCTATATTCATTCATTCAAAATTCAATTTATAATAGTAAGGAGATCCTTCAATACATTTATTTATCTTTCACCTCCTTACTAAAGAAAAAAAGAAAATATAGAACAAAATAAAATCTGATAATTCAAACTCTGATCAACCTCACAACACTATGTAGGGGTGTAAACGAGTCGAGTCAAGTATCTGCCTAATCGAGCCAAGTTTGTTTGACTCTTGCTGAGCTCGAACTCAGCTAGTTCGAAAATCATTAGGTTCTATCTTGGCTTGATTACTCGAGCTTGACTGGTTCACTTGAGCTCGTCAAGAAAGCTCAAGCTTGACTTGTGAAATAATTAAAATTATTTAGTATATATTTTATTATATTATTTAAAATTAGATTTTAAATATATTTTAATTTAAACGAGCGGCTTGACAAGCTTACGAGTTGAGCCTAGCTGAGCTCAAGCTCGTATAATATACGTGCTCGAACTCATGGCTTCATAAGCTTGGCTATTGAGCTCGTTAACGAGTCGAGTTCGATCTGACTCATGAGTCGACTCAACTCTCTTACACCCCTACTATTGGATTATTACCCTGACCTGAAAAATAAATTAAATTCACATAATGAGCTATAATGCCTAGCAAAGTAGTCAATACCTGCAACTGCACAAAGCACAGAAAGGAAACAACACGCATATAGTTATCTAAATCATAAAAGTGGCATTCAATATGATCATGAATCTATGCAAAACTATAAATTTGAAAATCATTAAGCATAGAAACAATGTACGGATACTAAAGCAACAAAGCTAAAAATCATAAAATTATTCATGAACCAAAACTGCATTTTGTATTATCAAATTATAAGAGAATTGTATCAATAAGTAAAACAACATATCGTATAAAATCTACCCATGTAGTTGGACTTCATCAGTAGTATCGTATCAGTATTCTGAATCACATAAATATCTTAATCTTAAATACACTAAATCTTAAATTTAATATCATATCAATAACATTGCATTTATACAAGTATAAAAGTAATCATACTAAAACAAAAAGTTCTAGCTTGTGTTCATCCTGTAATCATACTTGTATCATATTCATTTTAATATCTTGATCTTAATTTAATATTTAGGTGACTTTCTTGAAGAGTTGTCACTATTACTTATTGGCATCTTAACTCCTTATAACTCTCAATCTTGATCTTGATCTTGGTCCAGGATATCACCACAAACCTAAGGAAAATCCGTCGGCCCACCTTCGTGTACAGGGTAAAATTAATCTTCAACCACCTATCTTAATAATCAGTCTTTCTTGTTTGCACGCAATATATGAACATATATAATTTATAACAATTAGCAATTATTCATTCACAATGCTTGTTTCATCAATATGCTCGTATCAGGATATCTAAATCAATATATATCTTATTCCAAATCGAAATCGTACAAAATACAATAAATAATGTTTCAACCGATAAAAATACAAAATCACCCATTCAAAATGGCCATAATATTCAATACTACAATATACTAAAAGTTATGCGGTAGAAGTTCACTAAATTAAGAGAAAATACAATTAATATCAATTTAGACAGGAGAATAAATTCCTAAATCAAAATCTTTGAAAATAAAAGTAGATCAGAAGTCACCTACAATAATCAAAACAATTTTCGTAACAGGAGCGATGGACAAAAAAATCCTGAAAGCCAACTTTCATTTTCCTCTCTCCTCTCCTTTTCTCCTCACCTCCTTCCCTTCCTTTTTGAGCAAGTGGATGCGCCTTGGAAGTGAAAACAACGAACAAAAGAGAAGAAAAGCGTAGGAACACAAATATAATTGTTGTTTTAAGATTTCTCCTTCAAAAATAAAACAAGATACAATTGATCTATTATTCGAGAGGTATATTAGCTCTCCCACAAACCCTAGACGCTGCTAGGAGCTCACAAAAAATGTTAGGAAAATAAAATCAGTAATATCATGGTCCTAACCTTCATCCGAACTCCCACGTAAATAGACCTAGCCATAATAACATAAATATAACCTTTCTAAAAAATCAAATATGATTTAGGCTTCCTAAATAATTAAACATGATTTAGACAATCTTCATAAACAACTAGCCCTAAATAAGTTATCCTAAACAAATAAAATTGGAAATATTTCCCTCCTTATCCCCCCACATAATATAATGAAATATTTTCCTAAACAACATTTTTGCTAGGTTCCACACGGACCGAAATCCCCCCCCTCCCTGTGTGATTCCGCTTGATTCAGTTCTAGCTGGACCGACCCTTGCTGGCAGTTGTTGGGTCCGCTCCCCCCCTCGTGCGGCTCCTGTCGTATCAATACTATGCCCCAAAAATGCATATTGTCCTTAAGCTGGAAGGATGTAAATTGTTTCTTGCTCACCTCATACGATTCCCATGTAGCTTTATAATCAAGTAGATCCTTCCATCGAATTAGGACCTCATTTGCTCTTGTCGTCCCTTAACGTAATCCCACGACTTCCATGGGTTCCAGAATCACTTCCATATCCTTAGTCAATGCGCCGGTAGCGAGGAAGAGGGCGTGTGATTTTCGATAGCATGCCTCAGTTGTGATACATAAAACACTGGGTGTATCGATGATGATGCTGGTAACCTCAGATGATAAGCTACTGCCCCAATGCACTCGATCACCTTATAAGGCCCAAAGTAATGTGGGGATAGCTTCTCATTCTTCATCTTAGCCAGTGTCTTATGCTAGTGTGGTCTCAGTTTCAAATAAACTTTGTCTCGGGCTTGAACTGCAATTCTCGTCTATGTTCATCTGCCTTTTTTTTCATAAGTTGTTGAGCGCTCAGCAGATGTCCTTTGAGTTCTACTAGTATCATGTCCCTCTCCTCAAAGTACTGATCTATAATGGACATTGGTGTAGTGCTCTACCCGTAGTATATCAGATGGGGTGGATCCCTCCCATGCAAAATCCTTAAAGGGGTAGTCCTGGCAATACTATCATCAAAATAGGTCACGTGCTGCTTATCCACCAGCCAAAGGCCATCCCTGTTAATTTCTTTTTTGGCTTTGGCGATGCCTCTGCTATTTTCATTTTTTCAATGATTTTAATTCAATAAATTATGAGAGGGGTTTAGCAAGATTATAAACAAGAAATCAGTACCTAAATTTGGAGAAATGAGATGGACGATGGGTGGGTTTTATGCATGATAATCCCAACAACAATTCCTTTTTAACTCACAATGTCTCTCCCTCCCATCCCATGGTAACTATGAAAATAGTATTTTTAATATTTTTTGTTCTTGCATCATTTTTAGTGCTCCAGAGCTAAACAAATTAGTTAAGATTTAACACAATAATTAAGATTCATCTAAATTTAAATATATATCTTGGAAAAATAAGATTTTTCCAAGCTCCATCAAATCTTTCACAATAAGATAATTACATGTAAGGCAATATGCAATCTAATGCTACAAATTTGTGCTAAATCTCAAACATAGCTTCCAGGCTTATGATACTTAATTTGTGCATGTTGATGATACAACCCAAGCTCTTAAGCACTGAGATATTGTCCACTTTGGTCTAATGATCTCACGGTTTTATCCCATAGGATGCAACTTACCAGGAGATCAACCACCCCGAGAGGTCACCCTTAACTTTGGAGTTTTTATGAAATTCTAACCATTACACAAAAAGACACATTAATGTTTAAGAGTTTAGTTTTATTTCTTAAGGGGCTTCACAATAAACTATCTATCTAGTGGATGATTCTGGGCTAAGAAAATTGACATGGACATCAAATATCTAAGTGAGGGAGATTGTGAAGACTTTAAAAAAATAAATCTAAACTCTTAAATATCGAAATGCCTTTTGGTGTAATGGTTGAACTTTCATTAGAAACTCCAAAGTTAATCAAGCTTGTATGGGAGCACTCCAAGGATGTGTGACCTCCTGAGTTACACCAACGGGACAAAACCGTGAAGTTATTATGTCCAAATGGATAATATCTCAATGGTTGAGAGTTTTAGCTGATATAGATGACATCTTAATGATTGAACTCTTAAGCACCCTGCTTCTCTGGCCTATTTGCTTGCATTCACGTCTCATATTATCCTATTGGTAGTTCAGAATCCTCCGTTTCACTTTATACGGCTTGAATTTTATTATTTGAATTTTATTAGATTAAATACTATCTGTATTTAATATGTGAATAAAAATGACAGGTTTCACCTTCCTGTTGCTTATCATGGGCGGGCTTCGTCTGTGGTTATTTCTGGGACAAATATTACTCGTCCAAGGTGAAGATTGTTGACTGATATTGCCAAACTTGTTATTAGTTTCTACAAATGTGTTTTCTTTCTTTGAGCTCTTCATTTCATCATTCACAATTTATTCACCTTCAAACAATTTTGACATATTGCAATGGGAAATGATTAAGACTTTTTGTTTTACCTGGAATAGTAAATGCTTTATTGCCTACTTTGAAGGTCATTGAGTGTTTTTTATGCTTTTCATTTGCGAGTGGTCTGCTTGTTCAACAGGTATTAATGAATAAGAATGTCATAGACAGTTTAAAGCAAGTCCTCTGTTCTAAAATGCATCTTATGTAGCTTTCTTGGATGTTTTACTTTTTTACATATCAAAATTTCCAATTAAAATTTAGATATCCTATACATGAACTTTTGAGTGCTATTGCTTTGGCAAGCAAGAAAAAAATTATTTGCTTTTTTTCTCTGGAGGTTCACCAAACATGGTTTGCATGTCTTTGGAAAAATGTTCTAATAAGTACTTATAAAATCAGCTATTCCTATTCAGAATAAAGTTTGTTTTCTAATTATTTTGGTGCCAGCTCATGGTTTTGAAGTGTTTAAATGCAAATTTGAATACTCACTAAAAAAGCGGCTTATAATACAAAAAGCTATTATTCCTGCTTGGGGAAAAAAACTTTCCTTTTTATTTATATTGATGCCAACCGTGGTTTATAATTGTTTTAAATACAATTTTGAATATTCTCTTTAAACTGTTGAACCATCTCCTAATAATTGCTTAGTATAAAAAGTATTCCTTACATCTTAATAATTGTTGTTGATTTTTAAGTTTATAGTCGTTGGAAAGGTTGGGCAAATAAATGATTTATACAATGTTTTAGTTTGATTTCTTTATTTTGTTGTGTTTAATTTCAATTTATTTGTTCAAGCATGTTTATGATAATCTGCCTATGAGAATTGAATGTGTTTTCCTTTATTATGTTCTTTTTTTTTTTTGTTTACATCTAGTTTAGTTTGGCTTAAGTGGATGTTGACCTCCACATACACTCCAAATCACTGCAAGCTAGTTGGCCGAGAAGAGGGACCGATCAACACTACGTCGTTCGTAGTGGGCTCAAAACGCCTCAACGTCATGTTGAATCTCTCGAACTTCATCAATTTGTAAAATGGGTTGCATTGACGTGTTCAGAGTATTGAATTCTCCAAAGAGAAATCACTCGTGCATAACAAGGTCGAATAATCCGGTGGTCGTGCAAAGTTACACTAAATCTCCTGAACGACTTCTAATCATGGAACAGACTACGCCGTTGCATCCGGGACGTCAAAATTATTATGAGAGGACCCTCATGTTCGATTTGAGCGAACGTGAACAAAAACAACAAACTATGGGTGCAATGTTATGCGAGGTCGCTCGAACGACATCCATTCATGAAACAGACAACACCGTTGCATCCAGAACATCGAAATTACCCAGAAAAGAGACCTATATTGCCGCGCAATGAGAAAAGACAAAATTAGCTAGCATGCGAGACAACAACATGCATTTCGAGATGCATGATTGGCTCGACCCGGAACTTCTATAGAGGTCAACAGGTGCTACATGTAGTAAACAACAACCTTAATTTATCCTTTGCAAAAAAACCATCTTATTGTGGAGAATGCCCCTTTTGCCTGCTTTGGGGTGTGAATGAGCCGATTTCAAGCCCATCCAGTACCAGTTTGAACCTCTATAAGGAAGCTTGAAATCAGCTTATGGCTTGAATTAGATCAATTTTGAACTAACTTGGCTCTAATCAGCAATATTTTGATCTGACTTGAATTTGAATTGAGCCACCTTGAAATCATTTTATTTTATTTTTTAATTAAAATTTAACAATATTAAATATTTATAAATATAAATATTATTTATATTTTTAGCCAATTTCAAACTAGCTCTATTCGATTTAAGCCTAGCTTGAAATCAGCACGAAATCAGCTTGAGCCAAAATTATAGCTTGTGGCTTGGCTCATTTTGTTCGATTCAAGCCTCATCTGAGCAAAAAATAGATTCAATCTTTGAGCATTCTTTGATTTTCGAGTTAAAATCTCAGTCATTCTTAGCATTCAAAATGTTTAATACAAAATCTATGAAGGTACATCTCCTTTTTATTTCTGTTAAACATTGATGGCATGATAGCTAACTATTCTATTAATAGATTTCAGACATCAACTATGCTTGTGACGTCTTACTATTTCTTTATCTCAATTTATTAGTCTTTTTAGACCTGTATATGATTTTCTCCTTTTCCCTCTATACATATTCTATAATTACCTTCATTTTTTTGTACTTGTTAAAATTTCTTTTGCATTATTTTTCAGAGGTCAAGGTCATCCAACAGGCAGTTCACTCCCTTACTTTGGGCCCACAAAGAAACTGGATTTTGAACTTGAAATGGTTGGTTTCAGTGACTTGAAAATCATAGTTTTAATTTATAATTTATTACTACATATAATTTAATTAAATTGGAATTTAAATTGTTTATAATTTTATCATGATTGTTCTGTAGTATTTCAAAGTTTGCTATTGACATCTTGGTGAATTTAATATCTTTCCAGGCCGCTATTGTTGGTCCAGGCAATCAGTTAGGCAAAAATATTAATGTTAACGAGGCATATGATCACATTTTTGGACTCGTGCTTATGAATGACTGGAGTGGTGATCACTGCTCTCTTTCCTAATAATTTCGATTTGTTCCTTAGCTGGCATTGGTGTTTCCAATAACTAGAGTTGCTTTGACAGCCAGGGATATCCAAGCATGGGAATATGTCCCCCTCGGGCCTTTTCTCGGAAAGAGCTTTGGTAAGTAAAATTTCTTGTTTTTTTTTGTCACCATTTGCTTTCTTGTTATAATCCAGTGCCTGTTAAATTGAGATATTTAATGTAATAACTGCAATTAGGTACAACAATTTCTCCTTGGATTGTGACCCTTGAGGCTCTAGAACCTTTTGCTTGTGATCCCCCAAAGCAGGTAAATAGACTTTTTGCTGTTTCTTTTTCAACCATTTTAGTAATTGAAATAAAAGAGCAAAAGAAAGTTGATTTTCTTTTTGCTAAAATGTAACTTGAGGTCAGAGCGGAGATGCATACTATTCTTCTTGGCCTACATATTCAAAGAAACTGCGTTTCCATCCTATCTGAAGATCCATGCCCTTGTACCAAGAGGGTATAATATTAGCAATGTCTTCATTTAATAAATTAGGAGGCACGTAATTCATGAAAGAATAATGAGGCGTCAAAAGAGGTTTATCATCCGAGTAAAAAGTTTTTTTTTTTAATTAAGATGAACTTTTCTTTTGTTACTTGGGACTGCATGCATCTTTATGCACCTATCTGTGCACATACGCACAAAGGATTAGATCTATAGGAATTTTGTCATTCTTGTTACTGGGAGATCATTATAGGAACATCTATATGTTTTAATTTGCAGGATCCTCATCCGTTGCCATATTTAGCTGAAAAGAAGCATATAAATTATGACATTCCTTTGGAGGTATAATTATTTTGTTGCATTATCCCGTTCAATACTTTGTAGTTACTGTATCATAACCAGTAAATTTTAAGTTGATGTGTCCTTACCTTGTTCATAATCATTGCAACATCTTTCACTGCAAGGTCTGGATCAAACCTGCAGGGCAAGAACAAGCAACAGTAATTACAAGGAGTAACTTCAAACATCTGTAAGTATTTCATGGTAAAAATTCTAATAGCGAGTGCTATCATCATACGTGACTTTTGTGCAAACATTCATTATGTGCAAAGTCTGCTAACTACTTTTTTCTTTCTAAATTCAAATAAATTATGCTAGTTAATTTTTTGGTAAATTGTTGCCGGGGAAAAGGACCAAAATGGTCCATTGACTCTTTATGAATGATCAAAATTCATTCTCAACTATATTAAATGACATTTTTGATCTCTAAAGTCTTTAAAAAATGAATTAAAATAGTCTTATGGTGATATTATTTTGGTTATTCTTTACGAAGTCAAGGGACGAAAATGATTCTTTAATATAGTGGATACTATTTCGATTTTTCATAAAGAGTCAAGGGACCATTTTGATCATTTTTTCATTGTCATCGTTACTACTAAAAGTTAAGTTAGTGGAGTGCTAAATGGACATGAAAGAAATATCTCACTTTGTCAATTAGGAATAGTTAACTCATTGTCTATCTTTGTTTCTATTGTATTTTATCTCATCATATCACATCTTCTATCGGAATGTTTGGAAATTAAATAAATGAAACAAGGAACATTGTTTTTACTTGGAATCACGATCATTTTTCTCGAAAGTGGAATTCTTAAAAGCCCAAAAATTTAAATTCCATTTGGGCATGTGTTAGACCGGTCCAGCTAGCCTAGCACAAGGGCCGGCCCTTGGTTTATTCCAGGCAAACCAAACAACAGCCGACCCCCCTTGTGAGGCCCATTATTTGAATGAAAATCAAGAGGAGGGGGCAGTTTAGGAGGGAATTGAATTTGGGAAGAACTGTTTAGTAATTAGAATAATATTTGTATGCTTTCAATGAATGGGAAGGGTTAGGGTTATCTTTGTTGTTTGCTAACTTTGAGAGTCTTCTTAGGTTTGTGTGGGCTCTAGTCATCGGATAGGGATTGAGAGAGCCGGATCTTCCTCTTGAATTGAAGATTCATTGTACCTTGCATATTTTCTTTCATATGCTATCAAATAAAGAATGTTCTTATTGTTATTCCTCTACTTTCTTCTCCAAAAATTGAGTTGCAAGTTGCTGAACTCTGATTTCAAGAAGGTATTTTTTCTTTTTTTACAAGTATTTCCTATTAAATTGGTATCAGAGTGATTCGATCCAGGTTACTGATGGTCAGAAGGAAAGTAGAAGTCTTGGAAGGGGAATTAGGCCAATTAAAATCAGATTTTGTGTAGAAAATTTCAGAATTCGAGAATCAAAACTGTTAAAGATTTACAAATTCACAAGCACAACTTATTCCTCAAGCCTTGGATTCCTTGATGAGACAGGTTATGAAAAACGTAGGTGAATGCGGGCTCCGAAAATTCGGCCCCGGCCTCCGCTCGCTTTTTTCTTTTTATTTGAGAGAGGGGAGTTTTAACGGATAAGTTCCGGGGTAAATTTTGGAAGGCAGATGGATTTGTAGATAAGACAATACCTAGAGATTTCGTCCTCATTTTGCGAGGACTTTATGATCTGAGTTCTGGTTTCCTATAGGCGCAAGCCCCTATAGTTAATTACCCCTCCCGATCACGAGAGAGAACTTTCGATTAAGGCTAGTCGTCAATCAGATATGTAGAGATACGTGTTATCTGACATATAGTAGCAGCAATGAGTTTGAGATTAGAAAGATTAGATATTTGGGAATTTGAGAAAAATTTGTAGGTTTGAAAAGTTTGATATTTAAAATATGAAATTTCACCACCTAGCACTTAAAGCGGATGGTGGGGGAATGGATGATGGGCCCGATCAAGATCCCATTGTTCCGTCGTCCCGGGCCATCGTGGTCCCTGGTCTACTTAGTCAGAGGAGGTAGTCGGCCCAACCTGACAGAAGGATCCTTGTCGGCAGTCATGGGTTGCTTCGTCCAAGGGGACCTTGTAGACCTGGGGTGAATGTTTGTCTAAGGGGACAAATTTGAATATACCTTAGCTAACAGAGGGCTTTGTGCCCTATCGATCATATCCTATTTATTCATATCTCAAGGATTTAACGCCACTAAGGAGCATATTGGCTCTGGTCATAACCGCTATCTGTGGTGCCATTTGGCGGCAAAACTACTCGGTTTAGAGGGCCCCGGGTCATAACCGTCCGGTTGAGATTTTTGTTCAACGCGGCCATCATCGGGGTGTTCAGGGTCATTTCTCTTTATGGATTGAACCTTGTCAACTCGGCAGAGCTGTTGACCGAGGATCGGGTTTCTCGTAGACTTCGTGCCCTTGAGAGCGAATTATCTTAATTTTAGGCTTTGAAGGCCTAATACGAATATATTAAAAACAAATATTCTGGGCGCCACGGCCACATATTTGTTTGTTGGTTCGAACCTTGTCGACTCCTATTGATCCATATAGAAGGATCGGGTTCGAACTTGAATTCACTTGTCAACCCGTGCAACATCCCTAGACGTCACGTGTGTACCAATAACGCGCTCGCCGGGGCCCATGCGAGTTTGGGGGCATTTTATAATTAAACCCTGTCGACTCCTTTTATATACTTAGAAGGATCGGGTTCAAATTTAATAACTCGCGCAACATCCCTAGACGTCACGTGTGTACCAATAACACGCTCGCCGGGGCCCTTGCGGGTTGAGATTGTACGTTCCCCTTTAGTGTACCTATGTGTATACAATTTATAGTGCACGTGCAGGGGTATTTATTTCAGACTTTGTTGACGCCTTCTGTCTGCTTGTACAAGGGTTGCATATCCGGTGGCGTGGCGTAGCAGCTTCTGAATAGAGTTATTCACTGCTTCGTACAGGTAGACTGTCGTGCACTACTCGTTGCTTTCTACAGGTGGATCGTAGTGCACTAACGAATCTCCTGCATTTGCCCGTAGGTACTTGCATTTGTTGTAGCTTTTTAGCATCTTGCTTGTGAATACCGTATTGGGTACACAATAGGTCTTCTATGGTAGCTTGTAGAAATCTTGCAAAATTCCATATTTGTTATAATTCTGCGGTATCTGCTCATAGATTATATGTCAAGCCTACACCAAGTCTTCTACGATGGCTTATAGGTGCTTTCCTATGATACACATCATCTGGTATTTTCTTGTAGATAACAAATCCAATGTACAATGGGCTTCCATTAGTGATTCATGGGAACTTATGCATCTTTTCATAGATAACCTATTGTGGGTATATCTATGTCCATAAATGACCCATTACTTATGCAATCTGTTTATTATCAGTGATTGCAGGGGTTGATATATCGGTTGTACACTAGCTCTTGATATTTGCAAAGAATTGTAGTGCGTTTACTTAGAGCCATGTGACATCGTCTATATGGAACTTATGATTATCTCATGTTTCTCAAATCAACTTTGAATCTTCATCCATGCATGACTTATTACATACATTATGAATCTATTATCATTGAAAGTGGTTTCTCAACAATCATTGTCCATTGATATTTAAATCCTGCTTGGCAAAAAGTCTATGAAATATTTGTGGGAAAACCCTACACTACTAGTTGTAGGCATATTTCCACGTTCCTCATTTAGTCATTATAAGCATATCACTTTGATCGAATGACTTGAGCCACATCAACTTCACCACTCCTTGTTCATGTGGCAATTTTCATATGATCGCTCCTCTAGGATTGTGCATCTATTATTCGGAGGTCCAATCCATTGCTTAGTGATTTGTGACATGCTTATCTATGTGAATTCTCCATTTGATTTTGATTGAGAACCCATGAACATCAAATAATATTTGTATATCACTTACGTATGAAGACTTCTTGTCATTAATTCCTTATTGTCGTATTCAAGTTCTTATCACTTGGTTCAAACCAAGTTCACAAGTCTCAAGTTAGTGCTCAAGTTTGAGCTAAAGTCTCTCGTAGTCCAAATCAAATTTGGGCCAAGGCTCATGCCAAACCCATTTCATGTTCAGATTTATTTAGAGCCTTGTTTATTTTGGATCCAAGTTCCTTGTTATTTACTCATCTTAATTAAGTTCATATTATTTGATTAAAGTCCATTTGAGTCCAAGATGAGTTTTCTATTTAGTTCATTCAAAAACAAATCCATAAGTCCAGTTCATGTTCATAAGTCCCCTGTTCTTGTTCGAGTACAAGTTCTATGTCTTTTGCGGTCCGAGTCTTTTGAATTTGAGTATGAATAGTCCAAGTCCAAATTAAGACTTCTTGTACAAAGTTCATTGTATTTGAGTTCCAAGTCCTTGTCTGTATTTCAGACAAAATTTCGGCAGCCTCCCGGCGTCTCCCCCGTTTAGGGGAAAAGCCAAGAGGCCACCTACCCACCACGTCACTAAAGACGTGCACGGTTGGTGTTTGTGAGACACCGCGGCGGTTTTATTTTTATTTTTTTTCTCCCACAACGCGCACTAAAGGCGTGCTTGGGGCTTTAAAAAGCATTTTTGAAAAGCAAATTTTTGATTTCCCCCCGCCCGGGGGTACTTATAAGTTACCCCGCTTCGCCGTACGTGCCGCACCGGGGTCTCATCCCACCACGCGCACTAAAGGCGTGCTTGGGGCGGTTCTCTGGTTTGTCACGAACATTAAAGTATGGTTTTAAGTTTATAAAGATTCATACCTCCGCGGGGTTGTCGTGGTTGGCACGTGGATCGAGGGGTCACTCGCCTACCTCGTCGTAGGTGTCGCACCAGGTTCCCTCCTACCACGCGCACTAAAGGCGTGCTTAGGTGGTTTGCCGGCCCGACACGAACGTCGAGGAAAGAGAGTGGGTGGAGCATTTTTCTAATTATAATTAATCATATTTAATTAACATAATTATAATTAAAATATATATATAAAAAGGAATCCCTCGGCTTAATGGATCTACGGGATTTGGCCGGAGGAGTGCGTGAAGGGTAGAAAGTTATGCTCACGGAGCAAGCTCTCCTTCTTGCTTCCGATCAAAATGTACAAATTCCGGTCCGACAGGTAGGGACGGCGTTGGAGGGGCAACGCCTCCAACGCCGGAGGAGGGGCGAAGTCGAATCGCACGGAGGAGGCGAGGAAGTGCGCCGGAAGGGAGAAAATTAACTTCACAGCGAGCGAGCTCCTGCTCTGGCTTCCGATCCGACGGACAGGGAATGTCGCCGGGGTGAGCAAAGTCGAACAGCCTCGAAGTATTGGAGAGGCACGTCGAAGGGGAGAAAGTTATCTCCACAGCCCGTGAACTCCCGTTTTTGTTCCGATCAAAATGACGTAACTTCCGAACCAACGAGAAAGGGGAAGTCGTCGATGGAGCCGGAGGAGTGCACGAAAGGGAGAACGTTGCCTTCGCAGCGGGTGGAGCTCCGATCGTGGCTTCCGATCAGACTGTTGTAACTTCCGATCCGCCTGGTAGGAGAAAGATCGAGAGAGGGAGTGTGAGCGGGAGAGGAGATCGTGTGTGTCCAGAGAGTCAAGCAGCCCCCTCGCTATTTAACGATGACTTGGGCGCTCGATCGAGGCAGGCCGCAGGAGATACGGGAAGAGACGCGAACGTCGGCTGGATTTGCGGGATTTGATCGGTTTGGCGCCGATTCAGCAGGATTCGTGGATCCGACGGGATACGAGGTATGTACGTGGGATTTTTACTTTTCTTTTATCTCCATTTGTTCCCTTTGGACATAACATGAGGGTCAACAGTGAAGCGTAAAGGTAAAGGTAACTTTGTTACACTTTCATTTCGTGATCATATGCCTTGACCCAGAATAAAGGAGCTTGGGCTCATATTTTAAATATAGAAGAAAGTTGTTGTGAGCCTTCTTCATGAAGGACCTGATCAATTACACATTACTAATCATGAAAGAGAGACAGAGTGACTAACTATTGTAAGAAGGAAAATTGCTACACATTAAGAATGACTGGAATCTCCTATGTTAGAACTGAATTCGTCAAAATCAGTCAATTGAGCATAAGAAACATCCATTTGTTGCTGCTGATTAAAGTCCTCTAGTAGACCCAAGAACCCAACCATACTCTACCAGAAAAAAGAGAGGTACAAATGAGAATCACACCGGCAACTCTTAAAAAGAAGATTTAATCACTGAGTGCTCGCAAGAAGGCAGGTTGTTTTCACCATATCTAGCTAGACTGAAAACTGATTAGTCAAGTTGCGTCAAGATAAGTGGAATTTGACTTTGAAGTAACCATTGAATAGATCTTGGATGCTAAACTATCTTTCTTACCATTTATTATATCATTGATCAAAATACTTGAATTTCATGTTGAGGAAATTGATTTTGAATGGATTACTATATTTTTTCCTTTGAATGTCTCTCTCTCTCTCTCTCTCTCTAATTTGTATGCTTTTTCAGGTACTGGACAATCACGCAACAACTAGCGCACCACACCATAAATGGCTGTAATTTAAGATCTGGTGATCTTCTTGGCACTGGAACAATAAGCGGACCTGTATGTAAAGATATCTTCTCATCGTTTAGTGAATAAAAAAGCTTGAATATTTTTATTTTAGGGTAATATATATCTTTTTGGTTGCAATTACTTGAATTTCATATATAATTTGTAGGACCGAGATTCTCTTGGCTGCTTGCTAGAGCTAACCTGGAATGGACAAAACCAGCTTAGCTTAAACGGCTCAGCTCGGAGTTTCTTGGAAGATGGGGATGAAATCATTATTACCGGGCGCTGTGAGGTTTGTTCTCATAAACTTGCTGGACATGTATATTGTGATATATTTGTTCAATTAATTTGGTCTACTCTATTATTAACTTCTTTTGCTTAGATGGTTCATGTATAATATAATATTGTTTCTGAACTTTGGTCTGCTCTGTTATCTACTTCTTCTTTTTTTTTTTCTCTTCTGTGGTTATAGTTTATTATTTTATGGTTTAAAAGGCATTTATCAGAGTCCAAATTTGTGAACTAAATAATTATGTCTTTGATTAGCTACCAAGACTTTGAACAATATAAGGGCATTGAAATTGTGTATATTTTACTGTTAATACTAAGACCTTATTAGAGAAATGAATCAAGCTTAATGAGCAAAAGAAGAGAGAAGCTAGGTATCAAATTAATCTCTTAAAGATTGATTGGTTCATAGAGAACCTAGTTGAAACCTTATGAATAGGTATCAAATTCTCTTTTTTATTGGCCTAGTCTATTTATTGATGTTCAATCAATGATAGGTGACATTTATGTCGCTTACTAGCATTTCAGCTGCATACCACATGAAAACTAATGTTTAAAGGTAATTGATGAGTTGATCTTGATGCTCTAAAATGAATGAATCTTTGATTGGGGCTACAAAATATTTGAGTCAAGCTAGGAAGGTGCTTGCTCATGTTTGAGCTCATTTATTATCAAAAGCTCAGTTGAGCTTGATTTGAGTTTTTTTTTTTTTTTGGGTGCAAGCTTGTTTCATTTAAAATGATATATGTTCATATTTGGTTTATGCTCATGTGGGCTCCGAAAAATTCCCATTTTTGATTGTGATCCCGGCCTCTCTGCGCCATCTGTTTATTTTTCTGTTAAGTGTGACGATGACGGTATAAAGTTTTAACGAGATTAGGTTCCGGGGAAATTTTCAGAAGGCAGATTGGGTTTTAGATAAGACACTATCCAGAGATTTCGCTCTCATTTGGTGAGGACTTTTTTATCTGAGTGCTGGTTTCCTATAGGCGCAAGCCCCTATAGTTAATTACCCCTTCTGATAACAAGAGAGAACTTTCGATTAAGGCTAGTCGTTCAAGCTTTTACATAGGTTATGAACTATGATTAATTCATATATTTTTGGGGTTTAATTTTGGCATTTGAAAATTTGAATTTGGAATTAGAGTTTATCACCATAATTAAAACTGGTGGTGGGGGAATGAAGAGAGCCGCTGATAGTCCATTGGTTTGTCGTCCGGCATGTCTATTATCCTGGTCTACTTGTAGAGGAGGTAGTCGACCCACTGATAGAAGGCACCTTTGTCGGCAGCCATCGCGGTTGCTTCGTCTAAGAAATACTTGTAACTGGGTTGATATTTATCTAAGGGGATATAGTAGAACCACCTTAGCTCATAGGGGCTTTATATGCCTTATCGAATATCCTATGTAATTATTCAGGGTTTTTGACGCTTTATGGGAACATACGGGCTTTTGGGTCGTGATCTGTAATTATAATGGTGATTGATTTTATTTCAAGAATTTAGACTTTTGTTGGATTATGAGATTGTTGACATTTTTGAGATTTGAAAATTGACCTTCGGTTGAGATTTCCGATCAATTCGGAATCATCGGGTGACAGATTAGGTCTTATATTTTTTGTAGGATTTTGGGAAGGCATTTTAGTTATTCAAGTCGTTGCCGACTCCAGTGCATTTTGAGGAGGAGGATGATTGAATTTTTAACCCGCGAGATTCTGGATTATTGGATTTGAATTCAGTTCGATGATGATTCGGCAGCTACGATGCAGGTTGTTTTTTTCAATTTAATGGGATAATATCATTAATACTAAGTGGGTTTTTGTGTAAATTTTAAATATGATTCCATTATGTGAGAGTGAGATTTTATTTAGAAAAATGCCGAGTTTTTATTCTAGAGCCTACAAACGGCTTCTGTCTCGCTTGTACACATGTGTTGGATCTGTTGGCGTTTTTAAAGTTAAGGCTGTGTTGTGATATGTAGAAGATGTGTTGTTTCAATTTATTCAACTTTATCGTATCATCTACTATAGTTGTAAGGGTTTTTATGCAATAGACATTTAGAAGATCGTGTTTTGCTTACAATCACTGCATTAGCTTGCTTACGAAATTTCTTTATCTCATTATATATCTATTAAGTATACTACAATTCATTGCTTCTTTCTCTTATGCATTTATGATGTGCTTCTGATGAATGATGGGTAGTTGTATCATATATGATGGTGCTTAAAAGAAGCCTAAATAAGACCTTATTAAGATTTAATAACATAGGAGTGGTCTATAGTGTATTTGATTAAGATAGAGATTTCATAGATTGATAATAATCTTGAAATTTTTTCCTGAATAATTGACTGAAGAGTTTTCATGTAGAATTGATGGACATGATGACTCATAGTAATTTTCACATATTCTTTGCCTCTCTATATGTTGTAGATGCATAATAGTAGATGTGATGTTGAGTTTTTGGAGAACCAAGTCTGTGACTTGATTATTTTCAACTTCTTAGATTTATCAATCTACACACTTCATAAGAAGAAGATTTAAGGTCGGCAATGTACAGATAGTCCTTTACATTCCTCAAATAGTTATTCTCTACTATTTTATCTTTGCAATATTGAGTATACTCTTTTAACTCATAGTTTCAAGTTTCATTTTAAATTTATCTCTTCAAAATCTTCTCTCAATCACATTAAGAGGCTCTTAAATTTTGAAATTTCTTCTTATCAAGACAATTGTTCAGCACGCAACACAAAAGGATTTGTTATTTGCATTTTTGCTAATCACACAATTACAAATTACAGCTATCCATTTCCAAAAAATTTAGATTGGTTCCTATCAGTTTGATATAATATAATATATTATATATAATAAATAATATATATAATATATATTAAGTCAATGATGTCCATTAGTTGCTTACAACATTTTATACGTTTCAAAGTTGGCTTACTACTTGATTTGAACCTATATATTTACTTAGAAACAAAATTCTCATTCTCCTAATATTGCTATCATTCAAGTTTTATAATGACCTTGCATTTTGTTATCTCGTTGAGTGTAAGATCCTGATGAGAAGTTTGATTTTGAGCTCCAATTCCAATATTATTGATCGATTTTTAATTATTAATTTGATTTTATATTCGAATTAAGTTCAAATCAATTTTTAATTTTTAGTCCAAGTCCTTTGTTGTTCACTGAAAATTTCGGCAGCCTCCTGGCGCTCTCCCACCGAGGAGAAATCGGGACGAGCACTGCCTGTACATTCTTCTACCCTGACCTAAAGGTCAGACAGCGTAGGGTCTTGTTTTCAGAACATCACCAGGATCTAAGATCGACTGCGTGAGGTCTTCAAATTTTAAAACCATCTGCCCGGATTAAAAATCAACGACGCAGGTCTTCAAGTTCAAACCATCCCGGTCGGACCTAAGGTACGACAGCCGTGGTCTTCGACACCTGTTTGAAAATCCTCACATCTCTCTGTTTGTCTCTTTTCTTCTTCTTTTTTTATTCATTTTATTATATATATATAAGAGAGGGAGAGAAGGATCGGGTATAACCCGATCGGACTAGGGCTCAGGGCGACGGGGTCACGCACGAGGGAATCGGCGCTGGAGTCGGCCGGCGGATGTTGGGTCGGCGAGGTCGGAGTTCGGTGGAGACAAGGACGAAGCAAGCAGAGGCAGCAGACCGATCGCCGGTCCTTGGTCGGCTTTGGATGTGGGGTCGTCGGAGCAGGAAGAGGTAAGTCGACTTGGTTGGAATCGGCGGACCTCTTGCGGATGGGAGATTGAGAGGTAAGTTCTGAAAACTTCATCTCTTCTCTCGTTGCGTATCTGTGCGTGTTCATCCCGAATGAGAGAGGGTTCTTCGGTTATATGTCGTGAGAGAGGCGGTTTGTGATTTTTGAATGAACAGTCGCTTCGTTTTGGCGATAATCATCGTGAGGTGGGACCGGGGGCGGTTGTGTCGTGTATGTTGGTCGGGAGCTTCAGTCGGTTGGTTGGTTCTCCGACAGTTAGATGTCAACAGCTCGGTTCATTTTTTAAACAGATGAGCTTTATGGAGCCTACTAACAAACAATTATGATAGAGTCTGTTTATGAACATATCTAGCTAAAGTTTTTGAGCTATCAAAAAAGCCTAATCGCAAACATATTTAATAAGTATTTTTGAGCTACCAAACGAGCTCATTCACAAACAAATAAGCTAAAAAAATAATTCTTCTTTTAAACAAGCTTGTTCATGAACACTTTAAATAAACAATCCAACAAACATGAATAAATATCTCTTGTTCATGAACAAATTTATTTCTATGAGAGATTATAACAATTAATGAAATTAGTTTTTTATAAAATAAAATCATTTTATGATAACAAAAAAATATAATATTATAAATATAAATAATTTTAATTAAATTGTATATAATATTTATTTAATAGATATTCTTGATTTATTTTAATTAATTGATATTTAATGTTTAATTACTTTTATAATTTATTGATTAATTATTATTATATTATTAAATTATAATAAATATAAAATATTTATATTAAATTGTTCCTCATTTTCATAACGATATTTGATTGACCCCATAGCAAATACTAATCAAGTTTTTAACGAGCTTATTCATGGTCTTTGAATTAAACATGAATCAAGCTTCTTATGAAGATTTATATCATGCTTGTTCATGAGCTTTAAATGATATTATTCATGAGCATAAACGAGTTGAACACATAGTTATTCAAGCTTGTTTATTTAACTATCAAGTATTTAAAAAAAATATTTAAGCTTATTTGATTACTTAATCAAACAATTAAGAACGAGCTAATTGTTGAACGCTCTGTTCATTTGCAGCCCTAGTTTTGATGCATATATTGTGACTATGAGACAATGACAACTTCAGTTGTCTTAGAAGTCTCACCTTGTGTTGTAGAACTCCTTGTACAAATATTGTTGCCTGTAGGTGACATTTTCGAGATTCCAACAAGTCTCCAAGGATAGTGAGAGTTCAGCTTTTTGCTAAAAAATTATTGCAACATGGTAAGTCAGGGCTACTGTCACGAAGCTTGAACAAAGATCGGCCAAAGATGACATTATAGGTAGTAGGCACGTTGATTATAATGAATATTGTCCATGTAATGCACAAGTGGCCTTACTCCTAAGTGAATGTTACCATGATTGGGCCTCTAGTCTCCCTTTGAGGGAGACGTCAATGGGTCCAACTTGAAGTATTATGATTTATTTGATTGAAAACTCATTTAAATATAATATTAGTAGAACTCATAGTGTTGATCTTGATTAATATACTTCTAATTTGATAGTTGGTAGTAAGAATAGTACATCGATAGCATTGTTGTAGGGATTCCCAATCTGTCTTTTCTATTTTGGTGGAAGTGATGGACCTTGGAAAATGATGATCATTTCTCGACCAAAGTTTCAAGGGTTGTTTATCTTGGCACCTTACTCCCAACTTCATTAAGAATTGACGGGACCATCATTATAATGTGAATTACTCATGCTGGGACATACTCATTCTTGTTTTTTTTAACATGCGACTTGTTTGGATATTTACTATGTCATTAAGGATGAATTCTTTGAGTCTTCTAATGCAAATCAATTCTTCAATGAGATTTCTAAGGTGGTGACTACCCTTGATGATTATGATTCTTATAAAAATGTAATATTTTAATGGGTCATAAGTATATGTTGTGGTTCAAACTGGCAACGGTTGGCGAAAATTTAGCAATATTTGAAGAGGATTATAATTCAGGGTATTTCTGATGATGAGGTGATTTCTCCTTTGTTGAAGGATTGTAAGTCGGCATGCCCCTATCTCGATTCTTGGAGTGAAACACATTATCATGTTGGTAATGTGGCTTCTTGATCGACTTATCTCAATATTAGCGTGACTTGTTTCATTTGATCCTTGAGATATATTTTTGAATACCCTATAGTTTTGGAATGTCTTAAAAGTGAAGTAACTTGATTGTATTCCTTCACATTGATGTGTCCAATAACTTTCTTGGCTAAGGTCTCAGGCTCTGCTACAAGTCAAGTGCATAATAAGGACTTTCTCAAACAACTCCTTGAGCGATAGTGTTGATTGAGCGACATTTGATTCTAGGTTTTATGCATCCAATATCCATTGTTGAAACTATATGAAAAAATACAAAGTGACTTCCCTGACTTCTGTCTCATTATTCAAGAGAGCATGAGATTTCTTCAGTAGCTTCTAGACGTTACTGAATTGAGTGATAAATTGTAACTTGGAGCCAACAAAGAATGTAATGCTTCTTGAAGGAAGCCCGCAATGGTGCATCCTCAAAAGTGATAAAAAGCATATGACATTTCACCGCATTGTTGACATGGTCGACAAGGTTTAGCTTTCCTTAATACAAGTTTAGGACTAACATCTTGAACTTAGAAAGTAGCTAAACCTATGCAATCTAGATTGAAAAAGTATTTGCCGACTATGTCTTACGCTTTATAGGATTGAAAGGAATAAGTGTTTTCATTGTACTCTGCTTTGGAGATAAGGAATGCCATCAAGGGAATGAGCTGGAGCAGTACTCCTAGAGTTAGGTGATGTCGGAGCATGATGGACATGCTAGATTTTTGTCAAATGGGGAAGGAAGAAGAAGAGCGACTAGTCGAAAGCATTCAAATATATTTTAAATCATCTTCCATGTGATGTAGGTACTTAGAAATGGCGTAGATTTAGATCACTCGGCATGCTAGGATCTTTCAATGTCATCGAGCAATTCATAGTTCATTTTCTTGGATATGATCCACCTTCTCGACGCCAATGATTGTGTTGGTTCCAAAATTTTTCTAAGGATACAAATATCCTACTGAAGGACTGTACCAAGCCCATGAAGTGAGAGGAAGAGAGAAGTTAGGACTCAGATGAATATCTTAAATAATTAGTTTATAAGGAATCCAACTAAATCCTTTTAATTAAATAAAAGGATAAATCAAACCGAGCTAGTGGTAGACAATTCAAAAGGAAAAAGATTTCATAGAGAATTCTCGTGAATTTTTTTGTAAGATATTATATATTTTTTCTATGAAATTCATATCAATATTTTTGTGATTGTGCCTAACCATTGACCATCTATTTGTAAGTGAGGATCAAAGCTGATACTACATAATTGACAACATGGTACAATTACATAGAAAATAATTAGGTTGAACCCATTATAGTTAGCTGTATAGTGAGTAAGTTAGGCATGAAGTCAACTTCTAGTTATGAGAACTACAAATGAGTTCCTTCGACAAATTCTTTCGAGGTGGCTGGCAAATATTTTGGGCAAGTTAGCAAGTCTTTTGGGCAAATTCGTTGGCAACTTCGTGCATCCCTCGAGTGAGTTTAGTATGAGTTTCGAATTAGAGCTAACTCTTAGGTGACTTTCTTAAGATATAATTCTAGGTAAGGGTTGTCAATTACGTTTCATGTGTTAGATTTGAATCTGACAATAAAATGACATAACATGAATTTGACTTATTTATTAAAAGAGTAAAAAATCTCAACTAAGATTGACTTGACCAAACCCAAACCCAACCTAACACAACACAAGAGATATTTAAGTTGTGACCGGATAGAGTCAACTCAACCCAAAATGAATGCAATTACCTTATTTAGACACAAAAATTTAGAAAACAAAAAACATTTCTTGTTTTTTTTTATCAAAAAAATTAATCAAATAGTTAAGTCATTATTTTCGGATTAGCCTGAATCGGCCTAACATAGCCTATCTAAATACGATATGATTTTTTTTTAACATGTTATGCGAGTTGGTACAACCCTGATTTTTTTTTTTTTTTGGTGACACCGTCGAGTCGAATTTTCATATCGTGTCTAATATTGACGCCCCTAGTTCTTGGCATTCTTGGCAGCTCAATGCTTTAGGCTACTTGGTGAATTTTGTAGCATCTTAATTACATTTAGATGTTTGATAATAAAACAGCTAAATATTTACAATTTCTTATAAACAACTGAAAATCATTCTGCTCTCTGATCCCTGCAGGGGAAAGACTATAAAATAGGCTTCGGCAAATGCACTGGTAAAATACTCCCAGCAATCCCTGAAGATCAATGATACCAAAACCTTCTCAGTCTTCATCTGTTCCTTCTCAATGCAGTGAGGTTCTTAACCCCACCATCACATGCTTTTAATGAATAATATACATTATCGTTAGTACTTTTCTTCTGCAACTCAAAAAAAAATATTTGTTCACAAAAATATGAGCATGGCATGATGGAAACGGCTTATTAATAAAATAACACATTTTAGCAAAATATTTGAACTCAACTGATTGTAGATTTTTTTGTTAGTACTTTTCCTCTTACTTCTGTCATTCCTTCTGCATTTTTTGTAGTATTAAAGGAAGCCTTCATCCCACACCCTAAAAGCAAAATCCCTAAAACTTTTTTTTTTTAATACTTTTGAGCCAATTTACACAAATTTCAAACTCAAGACTTCTTAGTTGATAGTCAAAATTTTTAATCAATTGATTAATGATTTGTTTGGGACTGCTTTCTTCCTGCTTCTAGCGGGTTTTTAGTACAAAACTTTTTTAAACTTGATTGTTTTTATACTAGAAAGTTGTTCTAGAAAGCAATGAGAAAGCTGTCCTAAATAATAATGTGGCTGGGGCTCATTCCTCTGTCGTTGGCTCGTGGCAACTTTTGATGGGGGTCTTTTGCTCGGTTGGATGGCTGGTCGTTTGGGTTGGTTGCTACGCTGTTCTCTTCACCAAATTGGATGGTCTAAGCGTAGTTTCGGGGGTGCTGGAAGCCTCGGCCAATTATTGAGCCCTTCGCACTGATCTACCCTATATTCTCTTAGTTTTACTGTCATTTTGCTTTATTGCTTCTTGTAATCCTTTTTGGGTTTTAATATATTATCTTAAAAAAAAAAAGCTGTCCTAAATAAAATCTAATATGAGCTGTGTATCTGGTTATTTTATTATTGAATTTCAAATTATTATTTTTAAATGTATTTTTTATTTATAAGCAACCAAATGAGCATAGTCCTCACTCCAGAGGATCTCAATGATAAACGACGAATTAAAGTTCATGCCAATACCAAAAAAAAAGGAGAAAAGAAACTAATTGGAGTAGAAATAAGAACTTGATTCTTTTTATTTATGTTAATGTTTATTTATAATGCACTAATTATCTTTAAGCATTTAATAACTATTGCTCGACTCAATTAAATTGTATTTCTCATACATACATATTATGTATATCATTTTTTATATTTCAGCTATTAAATTTTAATATATTGTTAAGATTTAAATACTCGTGTGTTGAAATAATGAGAGAAAACTTGCGTAAGAATATTCTTATATATTTTTTGTAATTTGATGGACTTAAAAGCTTTTAGTTTTATATTAAACAATAATATTAAGTTTTTATCTTATACGGGGATTAGCTATATGAATTATATTTCATTGTCTTATATTAAGAATTAAAGTTTCATTTTAATAAAATAAAATAAAATTATTTTTAATATTTTTTAATCAAAATCTTTTGATGTCTATATTTGTTTATTTTTTAAAAAGATTAGTTTAATGCATTTATTCTCCTAATCAAATCATTGGAAGACTAATATTTTATATAACAATCATTTAGGATAGTTCTTTCTAATCTTAGGAGCTACTCCAACCTTTTGTTTTGCATTCTATGTGGATTAGGCCTTAACATTAATTTTAATTTTTTTTCTCAAAGTTAGGCCAAAGTTAAGCTCTATCTCATCATCTCTATTAGGGCAAATTATTGCGTTCGAACACGGAGATAGGTCCGGATATTAATAAAATATTATTTTAAATTAAGCGCGTCAAAAACGCAGGTAAAGCGCACCTAAAGCGCATGTGACATGGCATATTTTTATTGGATATCTGAACCTATTCTGCGCGTCCGGTGACTGGATGCAATAATTTGCCCTCTATTAGAACTCGACTTTGATTCTATTCCTCCCACTTTGGACGAAACTCTCTCAATAGCTCTTCTTCGTGCAATTCAATTCAAACATTAGCCTAAAGTGAACCAAACGCAAAGCATAAGATTTTCTCATACAATCAACCATAAGCCAAGCTCAAGCTCAAGCTCAAGCTCAAGCGCCTGTCAAATCCTCTTAAATATTGGCTCGTTTATGCCCTTCTCATAACCAAGTTCATCAAGTGAGCCTTATGAGGGTTCTCAATGCTATTGTCATTTATCTACTTGAAATCCTTATGAGGATCTCACTATTACAAAATTCTAGAAAATCACTCAATACAATAATAAGATCCTCATCGATCATAGTCCTTAACTATTAAAAAAAAAACTTATAAAATTTGATGATTTTTCAATCGAATTTTTAAATTAAACATCTGTACACAAGCAATATCCATTCAAGAAGTACATGAAAATCACCAAACTCAACTATGAAACAACATTTAAGAACCCATACTCTTATTTAAAACGTGTATGCAATGAAAGAATATAGCTACAATGAAAGGGGGGCCCATAAAAGCTTATTTACCCTCTTTCTCCCCACCCAAAACCTCCATTTTCTTCTTTACCTATTGAAGAAAAAACAAAAACAAAAAATTACAGGTATTCAAACTTACTGTGAAAGCTTTTATGACCAAGAAAAGAGTTCCTGATGTGCTAATCTTTGGTTGGAGAGACTTCAACCATTTCTTCAGCAATGGAAGAGATGTTCTCTACTTGTGAAGTGTCTGAAGCAGCATCATCTAAGTTTAGGTTGGAGAAGCTATCAGCAGCCACACTGCTGGAGTCTTCGCCATCTGACGGGGCTTTCAGAGAGCTCGAATCATCGGTAGAGATCTCCGATGTTTCGGAATCTTCAGAAGCTTGTTGCAGGCTCCAGCACATGAGGCTGGCAGTGAAAACAAGGGTCATCTTTGGGTTTACCTGCAATGATAAAAAGCATTTGGACTTTCAAAGCTAATAAGAATTCTCAAGGACTTGATATTAAACAAGAAAAACGAGCATATGATCTCAAAAGTTATAAGCGTATAGAATATATTAATATTTCTAAATTTTGTAGGGATTTTTGCATGCATAATACTTAAAATTATTGAATATATATATTTAACACCTAAATTTCTATATTTACTAATATACCGCCTAAAATCCTCATTTCCTTCTATTCTACCACTCCATTGAAGCGATGAGATACTTGTATTCACTATGAAAGGATGTCATTGATGGGAAAGACAGATAGTGATTTTGGACGGAAGGTTTAAACAGAATATTAGAATTAATTAAAAGAAGGGTTTTGTGTGGTATATTAGTAAATATAAAAGTTTAGGTGTTAAACAATGGAGTTGTACATATTATCTCATCGCAAAAAAATGTAAATCCAAGAGAGAAGAGAAGCATAAACAATACGAACACATTCAGATAATTAGTAAAATATATCACGCTTCAAACAGGAGTTGAGGAAATATACCACCCGTCATAAATAAAGTTTAAAAGAGCATACCATCTAAGTTAGAGTTTGAACCCATGGCTTCCATCTATCTTGGGAACCCATAAACTTTTACAATTAACATTGAGAATCTGAGAACAAGAAGTTATTTTAGTGCCAGTTAACATCTAAACCAAAAATCTACCAAACCGGGTTCAACAGTGCCTTAGACATGTAGACTGCTCCTTAGTTTTTCAACTGCTTTGTGAATATCTAGTTGAACATCATTATAAGAATAAGTAAAATGTTCCCGATATATCACATCAAACTCAAATATCCATCATCACATGGGGTTTCTTAGCCTGCCACATTCAGAATGGGAAATCCTTAGATCTTTTATTTTAAAGCTTCTTTAGATCGTTTGGAAAGTCCAGCGTTAATTAACAAGGATCCTTATAGAAAGTTGATGCACTTTTCTTTGAAATCAGTGAATGATAATAAGAAATTAGGAAGAAAAACACATCAAAACTATTTATAATACAAGATATATGAAAGAAAATAGCAACATATAGTTGGATCTTCAATTCGAGAGAAAGATTCGACTCTCCCAAATCCCTATCATCAGACTAGAGCTCAAATAACCTAAGAAATTCTAATTTCAGCAAACTTCAAACATAATCTGAAATCACCTCATAGTTAAGACTTAAATAGGCTCCCATAATTCCTCCCAAATCAAGCCCTTCTCATATATAAATCCCTCTCAGATTTGAATTCAAATTAGATTTATTTCCATAATTAATTCTCTCCCAATTGTAATTATGATGAGGACATCGGGATCACGGTTAAGATTTTGAGTTATTTATTTATATGTTTCATGTACTGTTTATTTTATATAGTTGTTTTTCGCATTTATAACCCTTACGGGTGGTCATGTAATATTGTAGGCCGAAGGCATTTTAAGTCTTTTATTTCTTTATTCTGTTCTGAGCCTATTTATAGGCTAAGTTGTTTTGTATTATGGGATGATGAACAAATAGAATTTTCTACGTTGATCTCTTTGTATGTTCACATTTCAATGTTCTCTGTTTGTGAGTGAAACTCTCCACGATCTCTTAGTGAGTTTCGTAGGAAAAGCTTAGATCTCTTTTGTGAGTTTAATGTTTTTCTTGTTCTTGTGCTCGTTTTCTTTTTAGTTCCATTGATCAATTCGTTGTTGTGAAGATTTTGGATTGAAGTCACTAGTGGGAGATTAGAGATTCATGAGCTTTGGATTCCCGAGAATTTTCCCACAATCCTCCTCCCTTGCTCTTGCTCGCCGCCCCTTCCCTGGATTGTCCAGGCCGTCGGCGCTGCAGCCGTTCAAATCGCGGCCAGCCAGAGCCAGCCCAAACCCGCCGGCCAGCGCCAGCCCAACCCGGACCGGAGCGCCCGGCAGCCACCAAGCCTTGCCGGCCCTGCTTTCCCCTGCCTGCCGCCGAGTCTTGCCCCTTCCTTGGAATTTCAAATAATGATATCAAATTGTTATGAGTCATTGATTTTTCCATAATTGCTTCCTATAATCATGCCCCTCAATTAATTGGATTTAAATTTCGAATTTTGAAAATTCGAATTCAATCTAATTGCAAGGCTTTAATTGGAAAACTCTCCTCTTTAGAAAACTGAAATTATTTAGATTTTGTTAACTGATTATTTCAGATTTTTTGTTAAAAACTGAAATTAAGATTGTGGTCCCACTCAATTGAAACTCAAGCCTCTCTCTCTCTCCATATGGCCGGCCACACTCATCCCATTGCTTCTTCCTCTAATTGCCAACCTCTACCACCAATTAATACCTCTTTAATGTCCTTCCTCTCAAATGGGTTAATTTCCAGATTCCTAAATGGTAATTTTAGATTTCAAAATCATAAAACGTGAAACGAAGGGCTCCTTCACCCTTCCCCCCCACCCACTTTTTCCTATCTGTCAATTCTGGAATTTAATTCCCATTGGAAATTCTCAGCATGTTGCTGGCTGAAAACCTCCCTAGACTCATGCGTTGGCTTCCCCCCCCCCCCCCCCACTTATCCTCCAAACTCCTGAAAACATTGAGTTTCCTACCTCCTAAACCTGCAGCCAGAAAATCCAGCCTTTGCCATTGCATCCACAACAATAAGAAGGCCTCCCAACTGCTGTCCAGGACTTTCACAAGTCCTCCAAGTGGTTGTCCACAGTTTTTTTACACGACCAACTGCTTTCCCTGCTCTCAAAGCTGCTGTCCATAAGATTCCCGCAGCAGTTTGCTGCTGTCCCACCCACTCCGGGAGCAACCATAAAGGCCCGACGGCTGGGAATCGTCTCCCATGTTTGAAGACTCGCTGCCCAAAGAATTGTTCGTGGATTGTGGCTGTCATCAATCATCAAGAAGCTGTCAAGCACCCCCTACGTCCGATCAACCAACAAAGCCATCACCGGAAGTTGGTAACTCTTTCCTTGGTTGAATGACAACTCTTTCCCTAACGTCCTTATCTTCCTAGTTTACTCTTAGGTTATGGTTATTAATGGATTCAGAAGAAATCATGTCAATTATGCGCCGCTAGAAACCCTAGTAATAGGAAGAAGTTAATGTGGAGGGATCCTTTCAATAGACATAATCTTATTATTAGTATTGGAATTTATTGTTGGAACGATCCATGTATGAAATGTCGGATTAAGTTGGCTATCTTTTTGATCTTAACTTTTATTCATGTGATTTAACCTAAGCTAAGTGCCTTTTAATATTTATCTTATCGTTCAATTCCGCATAAGAGCTTGCCTATTATTGCCTCTAAATCTAAGCATGCAAACTTTCATTAAGAAAATCATTTTCGCATGGGATTGTTCCACATCAAATTAAAACTTTCCTAAATAATCCCCCTTAATTTCTCCTTCTTTTCCCTAAATAAATTTCTCTTAGATTTTGAATTCAAATTAAATCTCTTGCCATAAATAATTCCCTCCCAAATGTAATTAAAAATTTTCCTAAACAATTCCCCTTTGATTAAAAACCTTCCTAAATAGTTCCCTCTTAATTAGGAAACTTCTTAATTCCCTACCAATCAAATCAGCCGGTCTATCAGATCCTTTGCTTATAATAAACAAAACAATGCATAAAATAAATATCTACTTTACCTCCATTATATCTTCAGGTAACAAGAAGACAGAGCAGCCAAGCTTTCTAGCCACACTGATTACGTATGTAGCATTCAATTTTTTTTCATCATCTGCATTTTGTAGTATTCAAAGAATCAGGGAAAAAAAAAAGAGGCGGATTAAAATCATCATGCCCTGATTTAATTAAAAAAAAATGATTTGAATCTAATCTGAAATATAATTTTATTTGCATTTATAATAAAAGTAAGGAAAAAAGTGAAGCTGCTTTATAAATATAGCATACCGGTCGCACCCTTCGTTACAAGGTTCCAGTTGACAACCCTTGGTTCTACAGAGCTTAGTAATTCAAGGAAAAATATTCCATTGGATAGGCTTTTATCCTAATAATAGTGAAAGAGAAGGAAGTTCAGAGCTGCAGCACTAGAAATATAGCAAGTGATATCTCTTGAATTATATACCTTAAAACTTTCAATTTGTGAAGTTCTGCCTGAGCTCTTGACTTTTCGATTTGCCCAATTTAGTATGTCAGAATCAGTAATCTCCTTTCCTTGAGAATGGAATCTCAAGTTCTTCAACAATTGCATTATGTCGAATCTCATCAATTGCCACAAATAAGCTGAAGCAAAGCCCCATAAATGCATCTTTATTTTCACGTTTTATGTAGCCAAATTGGTAACTTATACCAGTCATACTTTATGAAATAAAAATAAATTATTAACTTGGCAAACCAAAAAATATTCAGCATGCTGGACTATGAAGATAAAATAAATATCTTGCATTTTTCTTCTAAGTTTTTTCAATTAAAAAAAAAAGAGTTTTTGTATGTTCTTCTTCCTAAATTTCTTATGTCTTCTTTAGTTTTGCTAAAATTGTATCCACTTCCTATCAAATTGGTATCAGAGTCGTATCCTGGGCTGAAATATAAGTCTTCCTTGCTGATTTCTATTGCGTTTGTTCCCTTCGTCTTGCTAATTTTTGTTGTTGGAAGATCAGATTTGATGTTTTTTGCTATTTCTTTTGCTATTTGGAGCCTAGATCCGGGTACATATGGCGGAAAGAAAGGTAGAAGTGCTGAAAGAAGAGATCAAATAATTGAAATTTGATTTTGTAGAAAAGATTTCATATTTCAAAAAGCAATTTTCAATCATCCATGATAATATTGATGAGAAGTTTGTCATCATGGAGGAGATGATGAGGAGATGCTTGAGTTCCAAACCAAAATGGCATTGTCGGAGGCGGGAGAGCCACCGGCGACCAAGGGAGTGGAGGAACCCCTAATTCTATAAGGAGAGGGGAAGATCAACAGGTGGAAATGTTGGGGGAAGAAGAGAAGATGCCACCTTTGGGGCCACTTCCAAGGAGGGTAAAGGGTGAATGAGTGGGATTTTTGGTGGAACTATAGTGTTTGGAACGAGAAAAAGATGGGGAGAAGATAGAAGCATCGAATATGGTTTAACCACCCCAATAGCAGTATCGAGGGGTGTTCCAGCCAATTCAGGGGTTGTCTCCTCTGCGGGAATGCAAGCATGCTATTATCTTGAAGAAATAAGTCTCACCTATCAATGTTTGGCTGAGCCGGTGGGCCCCACTAGGGTAGGGGAATTGTTTAGGAAAGTTTTAATTATAATTTAGAGAGAGTTAATTAGGAAGAGAAATCTAATTTGAATTTCAAATATGAGAGAATTATTTACGGAAAGCCTAGTGGAGTTAATATTCATTATGTAAGGAAAAATTAATGGGGGAATTATTCAGAAAAGTTTTAATTACAATTTAGAGAAAATTAATTAGGGGAAAAGATCTAATTTGAATTCAATTCTGAGAGGGAATTATTTAAGAAAAAGAAGCTGTTTTGGGAGGGAATTATGGGAGCCTATTTAAGGCTAACTAAGGGGTGATTTCAGATTATGCTCGTGTTTTGCTGTAAGTAGTTTTGTTTAGGTTGAGTGGGCTCTAGCCAATGGTTAGGGGTTTGGGAGAGCCGGATCTTCCTCTCTAATTAAAGATTCAATCTGTATCTTGTGTTTTTCTTCTTAGTTCTTTCAATAAAAAAAGAGTTCTTATGTGTTCTTCTTCCTAAATTTCTTATGTTGTTCTATAGTTTTGCTGAAATTGTATCCACTTCCTATCAAATACATGCTAAAATAATTTACATTTATGAATGAAAAATTCTTTAGCATGCAACTTAAAGATGGATGTTCTTAGAAAGTACAAATACAACCAAGCATAGAAAAAAGGATGGCTGCAATACAAATTTCAAATTTACTGACAAAGTTCACAAACTTGCTTTTCAACCATAAAACATTTGGATCATCCACCAAGCAGGAAAAAGGGGAAGTACATAATGAGAGACAAATTTCAAGCATAAAAATGCTTTTAGAGCATATAAGATGACAAGATTGAGTGAACATTCCACTTGCAAATAACTAGGAAAAATGCTAAATATGTATAAATCAGTAGAATTTAAGCAAACTCACCAAGCATTAACTTCTTATTTCCTTGTACAATGTCATTCCCTGCCACATTAACTAGAGAGAGTTTCAACTGTTTTCCAATTCTCACAACTTGATTGCAGTTCTCTACTTTCCGAAACGGCATCTTTATGGGAGGTTTTGATGCATGCTTCCAATTAACCGATCCTGGAGAAACTTTGTCAAGTACTTCTAAAAGAACCCATCTGTAGAAAGTATATGATCAATCAGCTGCATCAGCCTTAAGCCAAATAATAGCAAATGATAGAAACATTCTCACCCATTTTTGAGATCTTCAAACACACAATTGACAAAAGTAGTGATTCCAAGACTGTTGATCCACATCCTAAAAGCTCTTTCTTCTCTAGATGCTTGCACTTCTTCAGGCATCATCTCTGCGAAGGACATCTTTTTGCTGCTGATGGAAAGGCCATTCCTGCAAAGAATACAAGTAAAATTAGCTTCACGTGCAGAAAAGCGATGAGAATATATAATGACTTAAAAATGAAAATAAAACCAACAATAGGGTAGTGCAGAAGACCTAAGACGAAAGCAACATGAAGAGATGTATCTCTCAAGGGAATTATAGCAAAAGAGATGATTTTAAAGAAAATATTCCTATCAAACATGTCTCACGTATGTTACATATTGTACTAAAAAGTACCAATTTTAAGCAAGAGAAGAAGGATCACAAATGCATTATTAAAGATGTGACAATACCCTATAACCAACTCAAAACTTGCCAATTTGAACTTGATGCCTAACTATGTGCCAAGCACTCTTCTAATATCAACGAGGGACAATTCCCTTCTTGTAGCTAGTTTAACAACCATAACTCCTAATTTAACAAGTACTTGAAAGTTCAGACTATTCAGAATCAAAAAAACAATTATTAAAAATAAGCATATGATTAATGTATATGAAAAAGCAGCTACAATGATAGCACACACAAGCCAATGTTATCTTCACCAAATATTTCATCCACAAACCAGAGAAGATTACACCATCCATATTTGGGAGTAAGATACAGAAAGAACCAACATTTGGCAGTTCCCTAAAGACTACAATTCCAAATCCATGTCCCCATGAAAAGCCTAAATTATTAGATATAAACAAAATATGGAGGTTTAAATAACTAAAACGCCATGATAATGTATCCTAGATTTCCTAATAAAGAAGATTATTTAAGGATAAATTAAAGTGAATCATTAACATCATCATTTATGTCTGCTGTTTTCGAAAATAAGCAAAAATAGCTCAAAACTATTTCACCATTTAGCACGTAAGTCAATTCTGTCATTCCCTGCAACAATAGCTTGAAATCGCAATAATGTGCTCCCCCTTAAAAACTCAACAAAGAGAACAGAACAAAATTTTCTCTTTATATTGTATATAATTGCACTTGAAGGATCAGCCCAATGATAAAGAGCCCGCATCCTAGCCACGGAGAGCTACACTTTAAAAACCTTCCCTTGATTCATATTCAAAACTATGCATATTCCAACCTGTTTCATGTATGAGTTCTCTGGAGTTGACTTGGGTAGCTAGCAACCACTCACTTCCACCCCCACCATAAAACACAGAATTTTAAGCATAACCTTACATTGGGTTGTGCGTACAACAAACTCCAAGAGATTAATGGTAAGTTTTGAAGCTACGAAGCAACAAAAGAACGTTAATAGCAAAACAACAACATCAAGCTTTTGTCACACTATGTGTGGTCGGCTACATGAGTTTTTTTTCTCCATTGTGTCATGTTAAAAGTCAAATTCTCATTTAAATCTAATAAAGAAAGATCATTTCTAATATTTTCTAACCAAGTTTTTTTAGGTCTACCTCTACCTTTCTTAATATAAGTCAAATATAATACCTCTACTTTCGTAACCGGGTCATCGGAAGGCCATCATTTTATGTGACCGAACCATCTAAGGTGACTCTCTCTAATCATATCTTTGACTAGAGCTACTCCAACATTTTCACGTATATGCTCATTTTGTATCATGTCTCTAAGGGTAAATCCACTCATCCACCTGAACATCCTCATCTCTGCAACACTTAACTTAGTATTATGTTTCTCTTTTAATGGCCAACATTATGCACCATAAAGCATTGCAGGTCTCGCCACCATCTTATAGAATTTTCCCTTAAGTTTGAAGGGGATTTTTCTATCACACAACAAGCCCGATGCATTCCTCCACTTCAACCATCCAACTTGAATTCTACTGATAATATCCTCATCTATTTCACTATCACTCTGAACAATAGATCTAAGATATCTAAAACGTGTACTCTTATTAATGACTTGATCGCCCAAAGTTACAATCCCCCCACTAGGTCTATTACTACTAAAATTACATTCCATATATTTAGTTTAAGATCTACTCAAGTTAAAACCTTTAGACTCTAAGGTTGACCTCCATAATTCATGTTTACCTTCAACTCCTTCTCTATCTTATCAACAAGAAGAATATCATCAGCAAAAAGCATACACCAAGGTACATCCTCTTGCAAATGTCTAGTGAGAACATCCATGACTAAAGCAAAAACATATGGGCTTAAGGCTGATCCTTGATGTAATCCAACCGAAATAGGAAATACTTGATCAACCACCTTGTGTTTGAACACAATAGCTCCTGCATACATATCTTTAATGATTTGAATATAAGCATATTAAACTATTTTTTCTTTTCAAGACTCTCCATAGCACTTCTCTTGGAACTTTATCATATGCTTTCCCTAAATCAATAAATATTATATGTATATCCTCCTTATTCTCTTTATATTTCTCCATCAAACCTCTCAATAAATGTATGACTTCCATAGTAGACGTACCCGGCATGAATCCAAATTGATTGAGAACATTAGTATAACACCGCAACCTACGCTCCATAGCTCGCTCCATAGTTTTAAAGTATGACACGTTAACTTAATTCCTCTATAATTAGTATAATCTTGTGCATCACCTTTACTCTTAAAAATAGGAATCAACACTCATTCTCCACTCATCTAACATCTTTTTAGTCTTTAAAATAGTATTAAAAAGTTTAATGAGCAAAGAAATTCCTTCATCTCCTAAGAATTTTCACACCTCTATTAGAATATCATCAGGTCCAACAGCTTTTTCACATTTCATTTTCTTTAAAGCCTCTCTAACTTCGATTTTACTAATACATCGATAAAAATAAAAATCTTTATTTTCATTTAGCATGCTAAGGTCACTAAAGTCAATTGTATTATCAGAATCTTCATTAAAAAGTTTATCAAAATATCTCATTCACCTTTATTGAATATCATATTCTAAGAAAATTACATTTTTATCTTAATTCTTAATACACTTCACTTGAACTAAATCATAACTATTATCTCTTTGTTTGACAAACTTATACATATATATTTCTCCCTCCTTAGTATCCAATCTATCATATAAATCATTAAAAGCTAAAATTTTTGCATTGCATGTTGATTTCTTAGTTGCCTTATGTGGCTCTTTATAACTTTCCCAATTATCAAAATTTTTGCATCTAAACCAATTTTTATAATAAATTTTCTTTTTTTTTATCTTTTCTTGTAAATTTGGATTCCACCACCAATTAATTTTATTATTAGGTGCTTTTCCCTTGATGTTTCAAGCACATCTTTTGTAATATTCTTAATATTACTAGTCACTTTTTCCCAAATAACATGAGCATCCACATACCCAGACAAAACCTTAGCATTTAAAATCTTACTTTCAAAAATATTTTTATTACTATTCTTTAAATGCCCCCATCTAATCCTAGAACGTCGTTTTTATTTATTTTTTATTTTCTAACCCTTCATCTTAAAGTCCAAAACCAATAAGCAATGTTGGGTACATAAACTTTCACTCGGAATAACTTTACAATCTTTGCAATCTAAACAATCTAATTTTCTTATAAGAAAATAATCAATCTGAGATTTACTATATCCATTCATATACGTGATGAGATACTCATCTATTTTTTTAAATAAAATATTAGCAATTAAAAAAGCATCAGCTAAAAAAAATTTAATATAGTCTTACCACCTTCATTAGTCGTCCCAAACCCATGGCACTATGAATGCTTTTAAAATCATCTACCTCTCTACCAACATGTCCATTTAAATCTCCTCCAATAAAAATTCTTTCTTCAAGAGGTATATTTTATATTAATTCTTCTAAATTATTCCAAAATTTTAATTTTAAACACAAATCCAAACCTACTTGAGGAGCATAAACACTTACAATATTAATAATCATAACATCAATAATAATCTTTAAAGTTATAATCATATCTCCAATTCTATTAATTTTTATAACATTATCCTTCAAACTCTTATCAATAATCACACCTATACCATTTCTAGTATGACTCCTACCTGAATATCATAGTTTAAATCCTAAACTATCAATCTCTTTAGCCTTCTCTCCAACCCATTTAGTTTTTTAAATGCACATAATATTTATCTTCTATGAATCATAATATCTATTAATTTCATTAATTTTTCTATATGGGAACCTATATTCTAAGTTATTATCATAATTTTAATTTCTTTGCCCACATCCGTCCTTAATGTTGAAACCCTTGCATATTTAACACAGAACCCATGCACCGATGCAGCAGCCTTTGCATACTTATTGTTATATTCAGATCATACAGCATGTCGCTTCCAGGGAACACCCTAGTATTAACACAATATATTAAAGGATTCATATCATAATTATTCAACAAATTTTACTTTGGTTGTCGACTACCTAATGCAACCCTCCATTTTTCTCATCCAAGACTTAGGACCTGACAACGGCAGTGTTAAAGAATGTTAATAACAAATAATCCTAAATTTTTTTTTATAAAAGACTATATATAATATGGTATTAATGATAAATTGCACAAATATGTTGCAATTCTTAAACTGCAAATTGAAGTTGATTTAGTATAAAGGTAGGATAGGGGACAATTGATAAAAACAAATGAAAATATTAATGGCTCATTAAGATCCAAGTAAGTGTATACAAAGTTATGATATTTTAATAAGCTAAAAGTGGCATTATGTTTCAATTATGAGCAGTGTTCAAAATGAAAATAAGAAAAGAGAGAGATGCAATAGTACGACTAAATGGAAATACTTTTTCTCTCATCTGCAACTTATGTATAATAATATCATTGTATGTTTCTAAGAGGGTTATGATGCGCCTTGGTATCAAAAACAACAAAAAACTCCAAGCAACACAAAAATATATTTTTATTGATAGAAAATCAAATACGAACAAAGCAAGATTCAATGGTCCTCTTTCGAGAGGACTTTTTATCCCAAACCCTAGATGCCACTAAGATCCCTCATAAAAAGAGAACTACAGCACTCTCAAATCAAATTCTCCATACAAATATAATGTAAACCCTATTAGTTATAGCAAAAAATAAGCAATAAATACCAAAACATCCCTCCCCCAATTTTCTTTTTTTTTTTTAACATGGCTCCCCCAATTCCCTCCCAAATCAGCCCTCAAATTTGTCCTCTTAAATTAAGAAATATCTCCTAATTAATTTCTTTCAAATTAGCCCCAAAAGAGGGTTGAAACCTCCCTAGATTTGGTTTCACGTTCCGCCCCCCTCCACTGTCGGTCTAGCCTCGCTTGGCCTGTAGTCGTAACAATACTCCCCATGTTTCCCCCATGTATCAAGGGGAGACTCCCACCTTTCTTCCATCCGTTCTTGCATGGCACAATCCCATGATTGAGCTTGACCTCTGCCATCTCCAGTCGCCCACTCCCCTTGCCCGAAATACCTCCCATAATGGTCAGTCACTCCACCACCTCCACCACACAATTCCCTCCTTGTTGTCTCATTTTCTGGAAACCCTGATCCACCCTTTATTGGAGCCCAAGGAGGAGGCTCTTATGGACAAAACTCTCCTTATCGAATCGAACCCCTTCCGTTCGATCTCCTTTCCCATAGATTCGACCAAGGAAGTTCCGATAAATCTTGGTTAGGGTTGGTAATTGCAACCACCGGTGGAGTTTTGGATTGCATCTTCATGAGTTTCCTTAACATCTCTTCTATCCCTCCAAATCGGCTCTCCATCCGATTCTTCATAGTTAAAAACTTCTCCATGCCGAATTTGATTTGCTCTATTTTGTCTTTCAACGCATTCACCTTCTTTATTGTTATCTCTCCAAAAACCTCACTCTGATACCAATTTGATGTGCCTTGGTATCAAAAATAGGAACAAGCTCCAAGACATTCAACACAAAAATAAATTTTTATTGATAGAAAATCAAATACAAACAAAGCAAGATATAATGGTCCTCTTTCGAGAGGATCTTCTCTCCCAAACCCTAGACGCTGCTAGGATCCCTCACAAAAAGAAACTACAGTACTCTCAAATCAAATTCTCCATACGAACATAATATAAAGCATATTACTTATAGCAAACAATAAATAATAAATATCAACAAAGCCCTTCCCAATTCCCTCCTAAATCAACCCCAAAATATGTCCTCTTCAATTAAGAAATATATCATAATTAATATCTTCCAAATCAGCCCTCAAATCTGCCCTCTTTAATTAGGAAACATCGCCTAATTAATCAGCCCCCAAATCTGCCCTATTTAATTAGGAAACATCTCCTAATTAATCCCCTCCAAATCAGCCATAAAATTAGTTTGTTTTTCTTATTAATTTCCCTCTCCTATTTGAATTCAAATAGGAGATCTTTCCCTCCTTAATTATCTCCCTAATTCCCTCCTTAATTACCCTCCTAACATAATGAATTATTGTTTTGCTCGGCCCCACAAGAGGGGCTGAAATCTCCCTGGATTTGATTTCAGGTTCTACCCCATCCACTACATGTCTAGCCTCTCTTGGCCTGCAGCCGTAACAGATTAATAGCTTGGCTAACAACAATGCCAAAATACTGGGTGATCTCAAGCAACATATTTTCTAATTTGATGTCTAAGTAAATCTTCATTCGCTAAAAGTTTTTTTTAACTCAAGAACAGCATACTAAAATAGTTCTCAATAATTCTTGTCTTTTATAATATCACCAATATTAGCCTTATCCCAACTAGTTGGGGCCAGCATTATGAACCTCTTTTTATTAGTTTATGTGTTATTAAAGCTTATTTCATTGGAAAATATTAGTTTTGTTAAATCTCAACTGTCCCTTAGCATTTTGATCCCATGGCTAGGATAGAAATCTATGGGAGGCTTACCTATCAAATCCTCGCCGTCTTGACCTTTCATCACCACCTCAAAACAATCCACCTAAACCTGAAATCAAAGCCATGGAAACTGAGGACAAAACTATTATGAATAACGATATTTGGGAAAGTGTATTGAAGGCGTACAAATCCAAATTATGGTTCAGAGCATATCCAAGAATCTGAACCGTCTCCTAAAATTGAGGTAAATACAAGTTCACCAAAAAAACCTCCCTTGTACCCCATAACCAACTTTATATCCTTCCATAACTTCTTACCTTCACACAAATTTTTTAGTTACACTAAATGATATTCATATTTCTAATCATATTTATGAAGTCTTATCAGTTGAAAATTGGAAGTGCCATGAAAGATGAAATGTTGGCCCTGAAAAAGAATAATATATGGGAGATCACCGACCTACTAGTAGGAAAAGAACTAGTCGGCTGCAAATGTGTGTTCTTTGTTAAATACAAAGCTGATGATACACTGGAAAGGTATAAGGCAAGACTTGTGGCGAAAGGGTATACTCATACGTATGGAATTGACTACCCAAAAACTTTTGCACCTGTGGCCAAGATGAACACCGTGAGGATCTTGCTCTCATTAGCAACTAATTATAATTGGCATATGGAACAGTTGGATGTCAAAAATGCATTCCTACACGGGAACTTAGAGGAAGAAATATTTATGGAGATTTTATCAAGATTTAAGGAATAATTTGGATAAAACAAAGTGTGTAGGTTAAAAAAGACTCTATATGGGCTAAAGCAGTCACATAGAGCTTGGTTTGGAAGATTCTCAAAAGTCGTACTACTGAATGGTTATCGATAGAGTCAAGGAGACCATGCATTATTCTTCAAGCACTCAGACTCAGGGGGGTCATAATTTTATTAGTATGTGGATGATATCATCTTGACTGGGAATGATGAAAAGGAGAAAATAATTCTAAAGAAATGCCTTGCAAAGGAACTTAACATAAATGATCTTGGTAGATTAAAATATTTTCTTGGAATGAAGTGGTCCACTCCAACAACAAAATCTTCATTTCACAACAAAAATATATTAATGATCTTCTAAAAGAAACATATAAACTAGCTTGTAAACTGGCAACAATACAAGTAGAACCAAATCTCAAATTGGGGGAAACTAAAGAAGATCCAAATGTAGATAAAGGAGAGCTTACCAGAGACTTATGAGAAAATTGATCTACCTTTCTCACACCATACCAGATATAGCATTTTCTATAAGTATGGTCTGTCAATTCATGCAAAATCGAAAGCAGACTCACATGTAAGCTGTAGACATAATACTGCACTATCTTGAGGGGAACCTAGGTAAAGGCATTCTCTTCAGAAGAGATTGTGGAATAATCCCAAAAGCATATAGTGATGCAGATTACACAGGATCACCAGTCGATAGATGATCTACCTCCGGATACTGCACATTCCTTGAAAGAAACCATGTTAAATGGAGAATCAAAAAACAAAATGTAGTGGCAAGATCTAGTGCAGAAGTAGAATACAGAGCTATGGCCTTAAGAATATGTGAGCTACTATGGATCAAGATAATTCTAGAAAATCTAAGGATCAAGTGGGAAGGATCCATGAAGCTACATTGTGACAACAAATCAACAAACAGCATAGCTTACAATCCAGTTCAACATGTCAAGACCAAGCACATAAAAGTGGACAGACATTTCATAAAGGAGAAATTTGATTGTGGTCTTATATGTATTGACCATGTCTTATCAAAAGATCAGCTTGTAGATATTCTTACCAAGGGACTCGATAACTCTACCTTTCTGGGACTGATTACCAAGCTGGGAAGGACGGATCCCTGTATTCCCCAACTTGAGGGGGAGTGTTAAATCCCAACCGTCCCTTGACATTTTGATCCCACGGCTAGGATGGAAATCTATAAAAGGCTCACCTATTAAATCCTAGTTGTCCCTTGGCATTTTGATCCCACGGCTAAAATGGGAATCTGTAAGAGGCTCACTTGGATCACGTTGATCTCCTTCCATATTTAGATGGCTGATTTAGGAAAGATTATATTAGAGCAATTATGTATTATTATGCAATTATTTATTTCTTTATTAATATATCTTGTATAGATCTATGAATAGGGACAAGGTTGTGCAATAAAATGAAGTCTTTTTTCTCTCCAATTCTCTAAATTTAACAGGTTCAAAGGCAATGTATGTACAACTTAACTTTAGACGAGAACAAATTGAAAATTCTATGCATATTTACATGTTCAAGCAACTTATTCTGACATGAGGATAAATGGTGAACAACCAAAAATTCTAACCTCTGATGAAATATTTGTGCAACAAAAGCTAGGTTGAGGTTTGTGGATCCTTCAACTATGTCTGTTGGGGTTAAGTATCTTTTACAGTCCATTTTCTCCGCATGATCAAGTACAAGCTTTGCCCTTTCAGTTGGATCTTTGGCATCTAAGGTGTCGAGAGAACAATGCTCAGGGGAAAGAACATTCAAAAGGTGTGCGTATGCCTCTCCATCCTGAAATCAAAGATTTGATGATCTAAGTTGTAATAAAATGACCATTTTACGCAACTGTCATACCACATTCACATTTAGAAAACAAATACAAAAATACTAGCAACAAAACGAACAGCATTGTGAGAAGAAACACACAAAAGAATCTAGAATGAGGACAAATATATAATGATAATACAAAGGATATTATACAACGTTTCCCAAGGTAAATTTGTTAGCCATATGCATTTGAAGTGCCAAAAGATTAGGAAGGATAAAGGTTAGATCTAAAGATTACATGGATATAAATTAATCAAAATGATTTAAGAAAAATAGATTTAGCCCCTCGAGTAGCACTCAATAGGAATGAATGAAAAATAAGAATTTGCAAAGTTGACTAAACGTAAGTGGTGGGATAGAGCTAATGATGACGATGATGCATCGAGGATTGCTTTATGATCGAGAACCTACCAAACAAACAGACTGAAAACTGTCTTATGTGCATGGCTTCCTCAAGCTATGATATACACCACATTTGAGTAGATGACATATGTTTGCCATAAATGGGACCCAATTATAGACAAAATTATCCACTATTACCAGCACCAACCAATGGAATGCTACAGAGGATGACTGTATTCATTAACCACATTATGAATGGTTGATATGCAATGACAAATGACTGAAAAGATGATAGCCAATGCAACCTATCTCCATAAGGAGCACATCTAACAAGGTGTGACAGCAGATATAAGAACAAAGTGATACATATAATGTGAGGAACAGCATTGCCCGGTGCTGCCAAAATGTGGATATCAGCTTTCTACAGTAATAGTTGAACTTTCAAATATGCCTACATTAAAACAAGTCCATACTGATATGTGCTTCAGGTCTTCTGAAGCAAAAAATTATCAGCATTAGTAAATGAAATCTGAACAATAAGGAATGGGAAATCACGAACCACGCGATCAAAACTGAAGACACTGAAGTGCTCATTTGTTGTTTATCAAACATAATGCCTCAGAATTTATTATCCTTTATCAATGAAAGATTACAATAATGCAAAGATAAGGCGCTTTCATTTCTGCATAAATCTTTTAATAAGTTTTAGTTGACATGATAATAATTTTATTGTTAAATTGGAATAATAATATCTGGCCTGAGCAGATAATCACTAAATTCCTTCTCCAAGTTGATGTGCTTATTTTTGTTTACCTTCAAATCAGACGAGAAATTTGTTACAGGTTTCTTGTAACCAGCTTTCTGCAGATGAAAGTTCATCCATTTAAGTAACATCTTCTCGGGTGGTAAATTCAAAAGCTCCTCAATATCCTATAACACCAAAACATAAGGGTAAGCTATGATAACTGCCACTACATTCCCTCTAGTGTAGCGAGCTGAAGCTCAAAGCTGATAAAATACAAAAGTGAGAATCAGCTAATGTTGTCCGACCTTACTATCATCCACTAGCTCTACCAGTTGAGGCATCTTCTTTAAGTTGAGATCTGCTAAGAGTTGTATCTAGCAACAAAAAGCAATATCAAGCCTGAATTCTCTCGATAACCCACAGAACACACAAACACATGCAATATAAAAAATGCATTGAGTACACCTCAAAGCATAAAAAGGTTACGTTCCCTTGTACAATACTATAAACAATTGGTAACCTCTCAACTTTGAAATGAACTTTTTTCTTTCCAATTTGGTTGTAAACATAACAAGTTTCATAATTACCTTGATAATTTGAGAAATTAAACCCAGTACCAAATGAGGCTGCAAAAGAGAAACAATGGTTAGAACACTTTAATAGATGGAGGGAGAAATTCCTATTTATGACAAGTCCAAATAGAAAAAAGGGTGTGCCCAATGCATGAAGCTCCCACCAATGTGAGTCTAGGTGGAGGTTAATGTATGTATGCATTGCAAAGAAGCTATTTCTGTAACTTGAATTTGTGACCTCCCGTCACAATAGGGGCGGTATAAGCACTAGTGACGGTCCACCTCTTTTACAATCCCAAACAACTGGAGATATGAATTTTATGTAGTATAAGTTTTCTTTAAAACTGACTTCAAAGGCTGGTTTCTTAGTACAACAGTCATTTTTTCCTCAGATAATTCAAATAAATCAAAATGAAAAATTTTATTCCAATCAGAGAGAAAAAAACTTCATTTTACAGAATGGAGGTTCAAAAGGCCATATGGAAGTTACAGTTTAAAGTCTGGTAGGCATAATTAATGGATTTTAATGATCCACCTGCAAAACTTGTCATTAATTTTAAAAAAGCCTTTGAATACTCCATGCTCCACATCATATTAAAAAAACTTAAATTGTGAACTAATTATTTCTTATTTGTGGACAGCAATGATACATCATGCAGGTTTCTTTAGCCTAAAAAGCAAATCTACAACATTGGCATGAACATGTAATATACTACTCCCAGAACTTGAATTACTTCATCAACTATAAAAGGCATTGAGAAATAAACTTAAAAGAAAGACTCCATTAAGGAGGTACGGAAACAAAATGCAATAACAAAGCTTTTCTTGGAAAATACAATAAAAAAATTTTTGAGACGTCTATCACTCTAAGACAAATCTGAATTTGATATTGACTCAAACTTACCCTCCCTTCAACCAAATCTTGAGTACCAATATTAACTACAGTGCACCCAATGGCTTTTGCAGAGTTGAGGCAAAGAGTGTGGTTTTCATTCCTCTCCCAAGGATTCAAAATCCTCTTTGTATTGATCGCCCTCTCATCTATCGTCCCGGGGACAGCAATATTGATCAATTTACTAAAAACAAATCATAAGAATTCAGTAATTATTATAATAGCAAAATCCACATTATTTGGCCAACAATAAAAAATTTTCAAGTAATGGAAGCTTCCTAGTTTGCATGAAATCAGTAATCTACATTCCATCTCATTTTGACAAAGATAGACAGATTTGCAAATACAACCTCAACCAAAACCTACTTACCACAGGAGGACACCATCTTTAACTATGTTGAAGATTTCATTTGAAGCCGGGTCAATCGGTAGGTATGTTTTCAAATACGAGTCGTCCCGAAGATAAGCATTTATATGAGCCACATAAGAAGCTTTTTCCGATTCATTTATAGTGTGCAGAAGTGTGGTAGTGGAAGCCTTCAGGAATGAAGAGGAATTCTTCGCACCACCCAATTTCTCCGCAGCTTTTGCTTGCACATTCAAACATTCCTGAGCAGCAATTCTAAATCATCAAACCCAACAATCGGCCAACACTAGAGACATATGAAACAGAAACAAAATCTGAAGCAAAGACACAATTCAATACCCGAAGAAATTGTTCAAACTCAATCTCTTGCCCGGTGTCCGGATAGGACTCTTCTAAGATAGAAGAAATCTCCTCTTTAGTGACCGCATCCTTGATGCTCTTCACTTTTGCCATTGCGGGTGGCAAATCGCTTACTCTCACATGACCATGTTCCCTCTTTATATAGATGTACTATCCGATCCCGCGGCATTCAACGCAAACAATCAGTTCAACAAAGCAATTGCAAGAAACGTTCAATTTCAGAGCACGATAAATATCATCGTAATCGTAATGGCTTACTTTGGCTTTGAGGCTCCGAAGCTCCACCTGAGTGAACTGGCTCTGAAGCCACGGATCAGACACGAGAACCCCAACAAATCCGGCCATTTCTATACACTACAACAGAACCCCAATCGAAATCCTCCTTTCGAATACGATTTCAGATCGACACGCAAAAACCAGTTCCCGAAATCGATCGTCCTTGTCACCACAACTGCAGGCAACGCGGAATTCTTCGTCCCCAACAACCCAAAACGAAAAAAAGATGAAAATTTTCCGTCTCTCCTCCGTTCTTTCCTTGCCTCCTACTCCATTTCACCGTCTTTTACACAACTTCCTCTCTCCTCTCTTCCGTAACCAGATTCCGTGTGAATCGGAGACAGAAGGCAAAGAAAAGAAAAAAGAAATGAAAGAAAATCCGAGTAATAATGGGAGAGGAAAAAGGAAGCAAAAGGAATTTTTTTCTTCATCAGACGAAGAGGGCGGTGAAAGGAAATGACAGGAACATGCGCTCGCCTCTTATAGCCGCCCTTGATTTGTGCAACCACGACGTGTTTGCTTCTTCGAATCGGCACTGTTTTTTTAGGCATTTTAATATTTTATACTATTTTAGTAGTTTAGTAGTTAAAGGCTTTAATTATTGAATGTAATGTTTGTTTAAGCGCCTGTTTGGGACCGCTGCATTATTTTATAAAATTATTATGAAAAACTAATTTAATTAATTTATTTCTATTTTTTATTTTTTATTTTAATATAAAATAAGTATTTTTTTAATATTTAAACAAAATATTATTTTTAGTAAAAACTAAATAAATTAATGTATATGATGGTGAGAGTCGCCATCAGGATAATCGTAATAGTTGGCCAATGGTAATAATTATTTTTAAAAATACTCAAAATTAAATAGCTTTAAGATTTTAGAATAATTAGTGAGACATTTTCAGGATTAGTACACAGTTCAACCTGTTCTGACTTAATCTGAAAAAGATTATACACTGAATTTCTACCTTTGATCCCTTCTATATGTGTTTGAAAGTATTTTATGTGCTTGTGAAAGCTTGTTCGTACGCTTAAGTGGGTTATAAAGGGTTTGTTTGTACATTCTAAAAATTTGAAATTTGTTTCCTAGGGCATCGTGATGTTGAGCTCTCTGAATTTTCCCAAAATTGTTCATGTCAAATTGCTCATAAGGTCTAGCGCAGCGACGCTCATATGGTTTGGTGCCACGGTGCTCGGCTTGAATTTCATATTTAAATATCATTTTTCATTATTCCACTCACTCCATTTCTCCTTAAGTTGGCTAGCTAGTGAGAGAGAGAGGGATTTATAGAGAGAGAAAACTAAATTTGGTCTCTTCAAGTCGTTACCAGTTTTGAAATTTGCTCATATTTGAGGTAGGTTGCATTTTGCATATCTTAGTTTAAGAGAATACATAAATTTCTAGAATTTTTTGATATTTTTGTCGTCTAAAAATATTGATAACTTTACACACTTTCATCATGTAACTTTCTGTATGTTTTAGAGACAAAGATTCTGAATATTTTGATATTTTTTTGAAAATTATACACCAAGAATATTGGGAATTACGCTATTTTAATTTATTAAAAAATAATCCTAACTCTGAAAAAAATAATGTTGCAATACAATTAAAGTCTTTAAATAGTGTTCTGAACAATGTCTGATAATTTAGTTGCATTATGAAACAATAAATTTATGCACAGTAGTGTATTCTGCTCTCTACCGTTAAGACATTTTGGTAAATTTTGAAACCATTTTATTTACTTTCTCATTGCTACAATGCAATGAATTATATTCATATTAATCTAATTGTATGATTTTGAGGATGTTTGGAGTGGATTGAGGAAGCTTTGTTTGAGTACTAAATGTGAATTCTAGTGTTATATGCACATTATATTTTGTTGCTAGACTATAGTGTTATATGCACATTATGCTTTGCTCTGTGTTTCGGTCTGTAGTCATATGCTATAATGTAACTATTTTATGTACATTTAAGGATAAATGAAAAAAATTTATGAATTAGTTTATTTTCTATACACTGAAAAATTATTAGCAGTTCTATGTTTTGTTGTTTGTTTTAAAGTTAAAATTAAACGACAAATCTAAATTGTTTCTAAAACTCAGATATTAGGGTCGGCCTGTTGCAAACCAACGGGATAGGATCTGACCCGTCTGTGACTCTTATCGGGTTGGATTGTCACAATTATAATAATCTCAAACTAAATGTAATGATTATATTTAAATACTTTTAAACGGATTGATTTTTGTATTATTAATTGTGAAAAAGTAATTATATTTATGAGAATGTGAATAAGAAATGGGCCTAATTCATTGAATGAAGTCTTCGTTGATAATCTTAAAAATAAAATGGATAGCTGTTGAAATTAAAGGCCATTTAATATAAATAAAAGATTTCTTAATACAATCTATCAACAATTATATTTTACCAAAAATGGATATCGTAATGCAGAAAAAATAATTAATTGAATATCTCTAATGCGCTAAATATATTCTTTTAGTTATTATAAAGATTGCCACACCGTATATTTATATTAATAGTAGTGAAAATTTAAAAGCATTAAAGCTAATCCTAAGGGGCTGTAGGATTTAGTAAATCCTGTAAATTCAAATTTAGTAAATTTTATGTGTTAAATCCTTCTGTTTGGAAAGATAACCGTTAAATTATGTGAACGGTAATGCAATCCAGAATTTAACAAGATTAATTTATTAAAAAATTAAATTTAATTTCCATTTCAAATAATAGTTACTTATTAATTTTAATTTTAATTACTATCAATAAGTTACAATTATAAATAATATATCTAGAAGCTAGTTAATTTTTTTAAATAATTTAATTAATTATTTAAGAATTATTTAAATTGTTTTTTAATTATTAAGTATACTATTAATTATCTAATAAATTATTTAAGTATTCTATTGTTAATTAAGTAAATTGTTAATTATTTAATTATTATTTAGTATTTAACTAATTACTACTTAATTGATTTTGTAATTATTAATTATTTTATTTCATCATAAACATATTAATTATTGAATAAGTTTTAGGACTATCTAGGGTTTGGGTTTTCTCCTCTTCTTCGTTTCGACTTTGCCCGGTGTCGTGTGAGGTAGAATTTCGAATAAGTTGATAAAAGCTTATTCTTTTTTTTTTACAACATTTTCTTTTCTTGTCGGACCGGAAGTCACAATATATTAATCATCTTTCTCCCATTTTGCATGCTTCTTCGATAAAATCCCATAAACCCGCCGAATAAGAGGATTTACTAAGGGATTTATAATAAAAAGGTGAAAATGGAGGATTTAATTTGTTGTGAGCTTTAATTAGATGTCTATTTTTTCTATTTACCATAAAACCTCTAATATAAATCTCCTAACAAATAATTATTAGACAAGAAATAAGAAGTTAGCATTGGCTTCTGCTTTATTGAGCGTATGTGGGGCCCTATGCAGCTATGCCTTGAAATCTTAAATCATAAATATATATTTGCTAAGTTTTAATTGATTAGAAATTCATATAAAAAAGGAAAGATGTAAAAAAACACTTATCAATTATTGAATATAGTAATAATTAATTGATAAAATCAAAATGAACAACTCACACATTCACAAGACATGCTTATAGTCAAACCAAACATCTCAAAATTACGAATCCAACGACACCAAATTTGAGTCAATCAGAGTCCAAATGGGTCCAAATCAAGGACCTGAATCGCTATTGGAAGGTTCAAACCACAATATGGTTTACCAAATGGTTTCTAAACAAGACATGCTTATAGTCGAATTGAGCAGCTCATCGAGACAAATCCAACGATCCTAAGACCACTGAATTTGGATCTCAGTAAGACATTCAAATGTCTAACAAATGGTCCACGATCAAGGAAATCAACATCGGTCGTCCATACAAACCACTCCCAAAATACCCTTAATCTTCCTCCTATTTACGGGCCATGCCACTCTAGAAAATCTATAAATAGAGCCCCCTTTCTCAAGAAAGGGGACCCCAAGCAAGAGAGCAAGAGAGAGATCGGAACCTGCTCTTGCCACCTAGCTCCTCGACCACCTCCAAGACTTCCAACAAAACACCACCCGACACCGGAGTTCTGCCAGACCACCACCCAATGTCAAACTTCTACCGAACCACCATTCGATGCCGGAATTCTATCGGACCACCGCCTGATGCCCAGACTTCCATCAGATGGACAACTCGATGCCGGAGTTCTACCGGACCGCCATCCGATGCTAGAGTTTTGTCGGACCACCACTCAACACCAGAGTTCTATCGGACCACCACCTGACACCCGGACTATTGTCAGACCACCTAATGATGCTCGGACTTCCGCCAAACCACCACTTGACGTCGAAGTTCTGTCAGAACACCACTGACGCTAGACTTCTGATGAACCACCACCTAACGTCGGAGTTCTGTCGGACCACCGCCTGATGCCCAGAATTCTACCAGACTGACCACCTGACTCTAGAGTTCTGTCAGACCACTGCCCGATGCCTAAGTTTTGTCTGACCATTGCCCGACGTCAGAGTTTTATCTGACCACCGCCTGACGCCTGGACTTCTATCAGACCACCTCCTGTCGCCCGGACTTCTATCGGACCACCACCTGACACCCGAACTTCTATTGGACCACCTCCTAATGCTCAGACTTCTATCGAACCACCGCCTGACACCCGGACTTCTGCCGAACCACCACTTAACACTGGACTTTTATCGGACCATCGACTAACGTCGGACCTCTACTGGATCTTCAATTGTCGCCGAACTTATACCCGACCAATTACAGTTCTCCTAACTTCAATCTCTTGTCGACTGTATACCTTCTGAACTCCATCGTTTATTACAATCTTTTCTAATCTCCATCGTCAGACAATGATCCTCCGAACTTTTGTCATCATACTATAATCTTTCTGACCTCTAACACCAGTCGACTATAATCCTCCCGACCTATGTCGCAAGCCGACTATGGTCCTTCCGACCTCCAATGCCAAACAATAGTCTTTTTGGCTCCTATCTCCAACCGATATGATCCTTCCGACATATGTTGCCTACTACGGTCCTTCCAACCTCCATCACCAAACAACAGTCTTTCTGACCCCTATCTCCTGCCAACTATGGTCCTTCCGACCTCCATCGTTTACTATGGTCCTTCTGACCTCCACCATTAGACAACGATCTTTTTTACCCTTGTCTCCTGCTGACTACAGTCATTTTGACCCCATCACCTACTACGGTCCTTCTGACCTCCATCGCTAGACAATGGTCTTTCTAACCCATGTCTCCTGCTAACTACAGTCCTTCTGACCTCCATCACCTACTACGGTCCTTCTGACCTCCATCACCAGACAATGGTATTTCTAACCCTTGTCTTCTACTGACTGCGGTCCTTCCGATGTCGTCACCTACTACGGTCCTTCCGAACTCCACCGCTAGACAACGATCTTTCTAACCCCTATCTCCTGCCAATTGTGATCCTTCCAACCTCCGTCGCCTTTCGATTATGGTCATGCCAACTAAAC